TTTTTTTTTTTTTTTTTTTTTTTGAGATGGAGTCTCACTCTGCCACCCAGGCTGGAGTGCAGTGGCTTATCTCAGCTCACTGCAACCTCCACCTCATGGGTTCAAGTGGTTCTCCTGCCTCAGCCTCCCAAGTAGCTGGGATTACAGGCGTGCACCTCTACACCTGGCTAATTTTTGTATTTTTAGCAGAGATGGGGTTTCACCATGTTGGCCAGGCTGGTCTTGAACTCCTGATCTCAAGTGATCCACCCACCTCAGCCTCCCAAAGTCCTGGGATTACAGGCGTGAGCCACCATGCTCGGCCTATTTATTTATTTACTTTTGGCCGGGTGCGGTGGCTCACGCCTGTAATCCCAGCACTTTGGGAGGCCGAGGCGGGTGGATCACGAGGTCAAGAGATCGAGACCATCCTGGTCAACATGGTGAAACCCCGTCTCTACTAAAACTACAAAAAATTAGCTGGGCATGGTGGCGCGTGCCTGTAATCCCAGCTACTCAGGAGGCTGAGGCAGGAGAATTGCCTGAACCCAGGAGGCGGAGGTTGCGGTGAGCCGAGATCGCGCCATTGCACTCCAGCCTGGGTAACAAGAGCGAAACTCCGTCTCAAAAACAAAACAAAAGAAAGCAAAAAATAAAATAAAATAAAAAATATTTATTTACTTTATTTTTTTTTTGAGATGGAGTTTTGCTCCTGTTGCCCATGCTGGAGTGCAATGGTGCAATCTTGGCTTACTACAATCTTCGCCTCCCAGGTTCAAGCAATTCTCCTGCCTCAGCCTCCTGAGTAGCTGGGATTAGAGGTGCCTACCACCACACCCAGCTAATTTGGTATTTTTAGTAGACATAGGGTTTCTCCATGTTGGTCAGGCTGGTCTCAAACTCCCGACCTCAGATGATCTGCCTGCTTCGGCCTCCCAAAGTTCTAGGATTATAGGCATGAGCCATCATGCCTGGCCTGCCCTACTTATTTCCTTCTTTCCATGGAGAAATCTCTTTTTTTACAATTTTTTATTTTTTTAAAAGACAGGGGTTTCACCATGTTGGTCAGGCTGGTCGTGAACTCTTGACCTCAGGTGATCTGCCCGCCTTGGCCTCCAAAGTGCTTGGATTACAGGCGTTAGCCACCATGCCCAGCCTCCATGGAGAAATTTCTTGCCAGTGAGGTCTTGCTCTACATTTCCTACTTCTCTAATTCACTCCTCAATCCACCTGGCTTTTTTTCCCAGATGTCAAATATCGCTGAAGTCATTGGGCCTCCTTGGATAGCATATCTTATGGACATTATTTGTTCTTCACTTTGCTGGGCTTTTTGCGGGATCTGACATTGTTAATCATCCATTTAATCCTTTACTTATGTATGTATTTATTTTTTTTAGAGACGGGGTCTTGCTATGTTGCCCAGACTGGAGTGCAGTGACTATTCACAGGTGCAATCCCACTACTGATCAGCACGGGAGTTCTGACCTTTATGTATTTTTTTTTTTTTTTTTGAGACTAAGTCTCTCTCTGTTGCCCAGGCTGGAGTGCAGTGGCATGATCTCGGCCCACTGCAATCTCTGCCTCCCAGATTCAAGTGATGCTCCTGCCTCAGCCTCCTGAGTAGCTGGGACTACAGGTGTGAGCCACTATGCCCGGTCTCATTCAGTCCCTTAAATGCTCGCCTGCCTTTGATGTCTGTGTCCTCCTCTCTCTGGGATCTCCTCATCCCCATCTTTAGGTGTCTCCTTTCGGTGCCCTTACACTGGTGTCCTTCCCTGGGGCTTCTCTGTGGCCTGCTGCTCCTATGGCTCTGCATGTTCTCCCTGGGGGAAGTTACTCAGATTTGTGGCTTCAACTGCCACCCATTCTTCAATGACACCCAAATCTATATTTATTTTATTATTATTTTTTTTTGGAGATGGAGTTTTTGCTCTTGTTACCCAGGCTGGAGTGCAATGGCGCGATCTCGGCTCACCGCAACCTCCGCCTCCTGGGTTCAAGCAATTCTCCTGCCTCAGCCTCCTGAGTAGCTGGGACTACAGGCACGCGCCACCATGCCCAGCTAATTTCTTGTATTTTTAGTAGAGACGGGGTTTCACCATGTTGACCAGGATGGTCTCGATCTCTTGACCTCGTGATCCACCCGCCTCGGCCTCCCAAAGTGCTGGGATTACAAGCGTGAGCCACCGCGCCCGGCCTCAAATCTATATTTATTATCCAGACATTTATCTTGAATTCCTCAACCAGAAATGCAACTACTAGGTGGATCTCAACATCTAGATTCTCACACTTCAGCATGTTCAAAATCAAATTCCTTTGGACAATGAGATCAATAACACTGTATACATAATTCAACAACAGAACCTACTTATATACCCACATTTAATATGGGACAGAGGATTCCAACCCAATAGGGAAGGAGAAGATTAGATGTAAATGGTGTTCAGGCTCTTTGAAAATTAATCAGTTTAGCTTCTTACCTCATAACATAAATCTAAATAAATTTTACCATTGAAAACATTAACACAAAAATTCAAACCAGAAAGCAGAAGAAACAACTTTGCTGTAAACCTAAAACTGCTCTAAGTAATAAAGTCTACTTAAGAAAAACAGAAGGAAAAAAAGAAAAACAGAAGAAAAGGGTGAAAGGGCAAGGAATCATTAAGTTTAGAAAACAATGAAGGAAGTAAAAAAGAAAAGGATGTTTAGAATCAACAACACAGAATTTTTTTTTTTTTTTATATAAAGACGGGGCTTCTCCATGTTGGTCAGGCTGGTCTTGAACTCCCGACCTCAGGTGATCCACCCACCTTGGCCCGAAAGTGCTTGGATTACAGGCGTGAGCTACCACGCCCAGCCTATTTTTTTTTTTTTTTTTTGAGACAAAGTCTTGCTCTAGTTGCCCAGGCTGTAGTGCAGTGGTGCGATCTCGGCTCACATCAACCTCCACCTCCCGGGTTCAACCATTCGCCTACCTCAGCCTCCCAAGTAGCTGGGATTACAGGCATGTGCCACTATATCTGGCTAATTTTTTGTATTTTTAGTAAAGACAGAGTTTCTCCATGTTGGTCAGGCTGGCCTCCAACTCCCAACCTCAGGTGATCCACCCACCTTGGCCTCCCAAAGTGCTGGGATTATAGGCGTGAGCCACTACGCCTGGCCAACAACACAGAAATTTAACTTCTGGGCTAGACATGGTGGCTCATGCCTGCAATCCCAGAACTTTGGGAAGCTGAGGTGGTCAGATCTCTTGAGCCCAGGAGTTTGAGATGAGCCTGGGCAACATGGTGAAATCTCCTCTCTGCTAAAAATATAAAAATTAGTCAGGCATGGTGACATGCCTCTATAGTCTCAGCTACTCAGGAGCCTGAGGTGGGAAGATCACCTGAGCCTGGCGAGGTCGAGGCTGCAGCGAGCTATGATAGTACCACTGCACTCCAGCCTGGGCAACAGAGCAAAACCCAGTTTTAAAAACAAACAAACAAACAAAATTTTAAACAAATTAAATTAAATTTTAAAAAGAGGCCAACTGCAGTGGCTCACATCTGTAATCCCAGCACTTCGGGAGGCTGAGGAGGGCAGATCACGAGGTCAAGAAATCAAAACCATCCTGGCCAACATGGTGAAACCCCATCTCTACTAAAAATAGAAAAATTAGCTGGGCATGGTGGCATGTACCTGTGGCCCCAGCTACTCGGGAGGCTGAGGCAGGAGAATCACTTGAACCTGGGAGGCGGAGGTAGCAGTGAGCTGAGATCGCACTGCTATACTCCAGCCTGGTGACAGAGCAAGACTCCATCTCAAAATAAATAAATAAATAAATAAATAAATAAATAAATAAATAAATAAAAATTTAAAAAGAGGCTGGGCGTGGTGGCTCACGCCTGTAATCCTAGCATTTTGGGAGGCCGAGGCGGGTGGATCATGAGGTTAAGAGATCAAGACCATTCTGGTCAACATGGTGAAACCCCGTCTCTACTAAAAATACAAAAATCAGCTGGGCATGGTGGCGGGTGCCTGTAATCCCAGCTACTCGGAGGCTGAGGCAGAAGAATTGCCTGAACCCAGGAGGCGGAGGTTGTGGTGGGCCGAGATCGCGCCATTGCACTCCAGCCTGGGTAACAAGAGTGAAACTCTGCCTCAAAAAAAAAAAAAAAAGTCCATACAAATGGAATAGAAAAATACCAAGACCCTAATAGTTAAATGGATACAGAACATGAATAAACAAAAGGGGAAAATACAAAAGTTGAGCTAATGAGAAAAACAGTGCAACTTCACTAACAATTCAAAATTAAAACAATAAGCCATCATTGCCTGCCTTTCAAACTAGCCCAGATGTCTGCATTCCCCTCCTGGCTGGCCTCCTCCCTATGCTGTCTCACTCTCCCAGTCCAGTTTGCACTGCAGAGTTCTAATACAAATCACACTGTGTCACTCACCTACCTAATAGTCTCCTCAATGGTCATCAGGAGAAAAACAAGCTCTGTTGCCTGGTACATCTGCCAGCTTGCTGCCTGACACCGTTCTAGGCTCATCTCCTGCCATGTCTCAGTTTCAGCCACACAGAACTTGTGCGATTGTTTCCAAAAGTATTCCACACCATGGTGCCTTCACTTGTGCTATTACTCATCCCATTAGCCCAACCTTTCTTCTCATCCTATTCCTTCAGGAAGCCTTCCCTGACACCACCAGTCTCCTCCGGATGTCCTTCTTTATGTCCCCGTCGAACTCTTGCCCCAGTGTCATAGCGCTGAGCACACGATAGCATGATCATTCATATTACTTGTCTTTCTCCTTCAAGTAATGTGAGCTCCTTAGGGAACCGTGTCTTTTTATCTATATAGCCCCAGCACTGTACCCAGAGCCAATTATGTATGAATGTATGTATTTATATGTATATGTATGAGAATATATGGATGGATGGGTGGATGAATAGATGGATGGAGATACATGAGCAGGGTCACGAGTAAGCTGAAGTAAGAAAAAACTGAGGAAGGGACAGGGGAAGTTGGGTGCCTTACCTCCCGAAGGGCATTCTGGGCTGCACGGTACCAAGCCCAACTCACGAGGGAGGCCTCTTTCTGATCTGACAGAGGCAGGAAGCTCAGAATATATGTGAGCATCTGAGGGAAAAAGACAGGGCATTGGGGGCTGTTAGAGCTGGGAGGTCTTTGGAACCAACTCCAGCTGACAGTACCATGGGTCTGAGGGCACCAGAGCACTGACTTCTTTATCTTGGATGTGAAGCTTCACGAAGCATTCATTTCCTTGCTCCAGGCTTCAGGTATCTTTACTGTGAACAAACCTTTCCTGAGCTGGATACAGGCTTGCACTGAGTGATAAGAATCAAACTTCCTGCCTAGCTGGGTAGAAAAAGCCTGGGCATTGAGGCCAGATAAACCTAGTTCACATCTCTACCCTGCCAACTGACCTCTCTGAACTTTGTTTTCCTTATCTGGGGCAATGGCAGTTGTAGTGAGATCAAATGGGTTATTGTGAGAATTAAAGAACACAGCCAGCTGGGTGTGGTGGCTCACACCTGTAATCCCAGCACTTTGGGAGACTGAGGTGGGTGGATCACCTGAGTTCAGGAGGTCGAGAACCTCCAGCCTGATCAACATGGTGAAACCCCTTCTCTACTAAAAATACAAAAATTCGTCAGGCGTGGTGACACATGCCTGTAATCCCAGCTACTTGGGAGGCTGAGGCAGGAGAATTGCTTGAACTTGGGAGGCAGAGGTTGCAGTGAGCCGAGATCGTGCCATTGCACTCCAGCCTGGGCAACAAGAGCGAAACTTCATCTTAGGAAAAAACAACAAAAAACGGAACATAGCCAAGTGTCTTGCATAGGACCTAAAGCACAGCAGGCCAGGTATGCTCCCTCTGATTCTCAGGAAATCATAGGTCCTCCTGCCCTCATGGCTCAGGCTCTGAGACCCTGCTCTTTTGCCATGTTCTCCACTGCCATCTTGCCCTCTCCACTGGTTGTTAAGATTTGATCCCAGCAAGACCTAGCCTGGGAAGCTCAGGCCCTTCACCCCACCTAGGGTGTGGTGTGGGTCAAAGCCCTAAACAGAACTAGGGAAGGGGTTGCCACTGAGGCCTAGAATTATTTGATATTAACTATTATTTTCTTCTGGAATCTTCCTTCCTGCATCCCAATTGCCTCGTTTTTGGATTCTTCTGCGGCTCCTAGGGCTCAGACCTGTGTCTTTTGGTTTTCTGTTTACCAACACAGGAATAACCAACAAGTCAATATTCCCATATTGTCTTATTATCTAAATGCTAATCCATATTGCCAACTGTCCATGCAAATGTTTAGCCATCGATCTAATCTCAACCAAAGCTCATATTCTACCCTCTGCCCAAAACAGCCCCTCCTAACTTCCCCTTCAATGCCAACAGTGCATCCACCTGATAACACTTTGGACTATTCAAGCACTTCTGTCCCTTCCTCCCAGATACAGGTGTAATGCACAGGCTTTAGGCCAGCCTAACCTAGACTCATTCAAATTCCAGCTCCAATACTTCCTGTCATAGTGCTGTGTGACCTTAAATAAGGTATTTGACCTCTCTGAGTTTCAGTTTCCATATCTATAAAATAGGCATACTTAAAAAAAATCTAGATCATAGTCTTATGAGATTACATTTTACATATATATAGTGTGTTCGTGAAAAGTAGATGCTCCATAAATGGTTGCTGGATTGTTGTTACTAAAATCTCTGCCTTTGCAACTTTCCCACCTCAGTAGTTCAGATTTCCACCACTTGAAACCTGGATTCCTTCCATAATCTCCCACCTGAACTCTCTGCCTCCAAGTTCATCCTTGCTAATACATTCTGCACACTGTTACAAGGTTAATTTTTCCTATAAAACAGCTTTCAGTTTCAGCTCACCCCTGCCGTAAACCTTCAGGGTTCACCAATACTCTCAGGACAGTCTCTACTCCTGGATCAGCACTGTCAGGTGTTCGTGCCTAATTGGACTTGCTGGTCCCTGAACTTCCCCAATCCAGTCTCCCCACTGTCCTACAAACACAGCATATCTATTTCCTTTTGCCTATGCAGGCCTTTTCCCTGGGATGCCCTTCCTGAACCTTGACTTCACCAACCCATTGTGATCGCTCCTTCCCTTCTCAGATGCCAAGCATATAGGCGCAGTGCTCAGCCAGTACTTACTAGATTAAATTTAGGATGGACAGTCCAGTCCTCTACCTCTATTTTCACCAAGAGTTTGCTCAGGGAAGGGGTCAGGGAAATAAAATAGTCATTACTGAGAGGAGAATGACTGGGAGAATAGACTTCTGGACCAGGAAGGCTAGGCATGGGGAAGACAGTACTGATGGGAACTGGGACTAACCAAGCCCCAATCCCTTTGGGGAGGAAGGAAGACTGTTTGAGCTGAGTTAAGATACTGGCCATTCTGTCTTTTGGGGCTAAGCAGCCAACCCAAGAACAAAGAGAGAGGGGAACAAACCTGTCATCCTTTGGGGTGAGTAGGGGAGGGATACTCATTGACCTAAGAAGGGGGTGGTCTTTCTAAAGGAACCAGAGGAGGCAGTGATAAGGATGGAGTGGCCATCCCATGAGCCCCATTTCAAGGGGGCTACTGGATATATGATTGGTCACTCATAGGATTTATGGGGATGGAATAGTTACCCCTTGAAGCTAGGCAGGGAAGGGATGGCACTGCAAGCTCAACGGGGAGGGAACAGGCCTATTTTTGCTAAGTATAGGGAGCATCATTCCAGGACTGGTGGCCTGTTTCCCATGGACAGAGAGAGGGGTTTGCCAACCTCAGGACAAAAGATGGTGAAGCCATTCCAACAGGCCACTGGGGACAAAACCTGTTATCTTCCTGGCAGATGGGGGCAGAGTGGTCTTGTCCCTGGCTAAGAGGAAGGAGCAAACATCCTATGGAGTGAAAGAGGTAAGGGCGGCCATCACTCGGGGCCTAGGAATGCGGAACAGGCCTGTCCTAGCTAAAGGAACTCAGAGATCACTGCAGTTGATGGGGAGGAAGCAGTCTGTTTCTCACTGCCAGGGAGAGGGGGCGGCTGTCTCTGTCGGGGCGTAGGAAATGGAGAGATCATCCCAAGGGACCAATGGGGATAAGATCAGTTACCCTTCGGGACGATGAGATGGAGCGGACATCTTCCAGAAGTGAGGGGAGAGGAGACAGCCACCTCAAGGGAAGGAGATGGGCAGAGGGCCTGTTCTCGCTGAGGTAACAGGGCAGCCATCTCCTGGGGCCGATGGGGAAGGGCGGGACGGTCCCCCAAGCTAAGGGGACAGAGTGGCCCAAAGGCAGAGCCGTTACCCAGAGCTAGTAGGTCCCGGAATCTGCCGGGCGGGTCGTTTCCGCCAGGCTGGAGGGGCCGGGCTAGCTATCTGACAGCCCCTCCCCCAAAGCTCGGGACCCCGAGGGCGGGGCCTGTCCGGAGCTAGGCCTGAGGGCGGCTTCCTCTCACCTCCTGGGGCAGCGACTCCGCCATCGCATCCCTGCCTCCTCCGCCCCCCGCGCAATGCTTTCTGGGAAGTGTAGTCTCGCCCATCTGGGGCGGGGCTTAGGAAGGAAGTGAGTCCTATTTCCGTCCCAGAAGCTGACGACTTCGGTCTGCGCCGGAAGTATATGCGCTGCGGATGTGGTGCTTAGTGATTGCGGTTTCGGTCGCTCTCCCTTGTTTCCTGGGCTGGGTGTTTGCCTCGCACCATGGCGGTAAGAAGAGTGGGTAGGGCAGGGTCCTCACCAGCAAAGCTCTCCCGGGGCTGTGAGAGTGAAAACTAAGAAAGGACATTAAGGGTTGTGGGGTGGGCCGGAGGGGGACGCCATCCCCTGACCAGACTGTACTAGAGCGGGGCAGGGGGATGGCGGCGCAGGACCATACCAGTACTAGTGCCGGAGTAGGGTGGGCTTCGGTACCAGAGCAGGCCAGAAATCTCTGACCTGAGGTGGGCGTTAGCCCAGATCGGGCCTACGCCAGCGGAGGCATGAGAGAGGCACTCCGCTCAGGAGTACCTTTGGAAGAGTCGTTAGCCCACAGCCAGACTACCAGCGGAGCCAGAGGCGGTATTAGCTTAGGGTTGAATTGTTCCAGGGCAAGCGGGAGGCGATCCTAGCTGTGGGTGCTGGAGAGATGGTGTCAGCCCTAGACAGGGTGGACTGGAGGATGGGTGGACATTCCAGGGACTGTGCTAGGTTTCAGCACTACGGGAACCTGGCTGAGTTGCGGCTGGAGCTCTATAGCTAACCAGGCTGGTGGGGAGAATAAGGAGGACGGTGGCCTCCTGACTGCATCTCATCATCCCTCTTCAGCCCAAGGGCAAAGTGGGCACGAGAGGGAAGAAGCAGATATTTGAAGAGAACAGAGAGACCCTGAAATTCTACCTGCGGATCATACTAGGGGCCAATGTAAGTGCCTGCCTCCTTGCTTTTATGCCCACTTACAGTCCCCAGTCCTCAGCCCTGCTTGGTGAGGAGTACTGGTACCCGACAGAGCTCTAGAAGAGAGCCCCAGTCAGAAAGAAATGAGAGAAGATCTGGGCACAGAGAAGGTGCTGACTAGTAAAACACAAAGGAAATGAATTCAGTCGTAGCTGAATTTGAGAGCCCTTCCTACCTACAAGTACACAAAGGCTTCTTTCCTGGACTGAGTTGGGTGTCAGAGGAGAGTCTGGGTATTTGGGATTCAGGGAGCGGAACCCTTCCTTCAAGCCAGTAAGAACAACCTTGCTCCTCCCACAGCCTGGCCTAATCCTTGGTCAGAGTTGAGGGAGACCCGTGGTTTGAAGTTATCTTCTGACCCCAGCCTGATCCTGTGATTGCTTGCAGGCCATTTACTGCCTTGTGACCTTGGTCTTCTTTTACTCATCTGCCTCATTTTGGGCCTGGGTAAGTATTTACATCCTGGGAGGTGGGAGGTGGATGAGTGCATAGGGTTAGTGGCTGGCCTTTTATACCCTCATTCTTGCTCTGCAGTTGGCTCTGGGCTTTAGTCTGGCAATATATGGGGCCAGCTACCACTCTATGAGCTCGATGGCACGGGCAGCGTTCTCTGAGGATGGGGCCCTGATGGATGGTGGCATGGACCTCAACATGGAGCAGGGCATGGCAGAGTGAGTGTCCCCCACCGCCAGCCCAGGTGAGCGGCCCCAGGGCTGGGGCCCAGATAGCCCAAGAAGCACAGCTACTTGCAACTTGAAAAGGGTGGAAGGGAGTTGAACTGGGGCCCATCTGCTGTCTTTGGCAGCCTTCTTTCTATCCACAGGCACCTTAAGGATGTCATCCTGCTGACAGCCATCGTGCAGGTGCTCAGCTGCTTCTCTCTCTATGTCTGGTCCTTCTGGCTTCTGGTATGTGGGCTGGGGGCACTCCCAAGAAACAGCATCTAACTCTTCCTATCTTTTATTCCCTGCATTTTGCTTCAAGTTACTCTTTCTCTTGTAGGCTCCAGGCCGGGCCCTTTACCTCCTGTGGGTGAATGTGTTAGGTCCTTGGTTCACTGCAGACAGTGGCACCCCAGTACCAGAGCACAATGAGAAACGGCAGCGCCGACAGGAGCGGCGGCAGATGAAGCGGTTATAGCCATTGACATTGTGGCCACAGGCCGCTGGCCCTGGGTGGCTATGTCAGGCTACATGGCCCCTCTTGCCTGGAGCAATGAGGGCCTAGTCCTGGGGCCAAAAGCAAGTCTGAGGTATCGGGTATGCTTATACTGTGTAGGGTCATTGAATAAATGGCTTAGAATGTGGCTGATGGCTGTGTGGGTGATGAGGGGTGAGGCAGGAAGAGCTAGTCCTATGGGATTTCCCCCCTGCTACAGACCTTGCCTGGTGGGGACCCTGAAAGAAAAAGGCTGTTGGATTCGCTAAGAAAATTTTATTTTGCTCCGTGAGTTCAAGGAGCCCACACACATGCACATGCATAATATGCGCATGCACGCTCGCACACACACTCTCACATGCACACACACACACACAGCTAATACTGCTGAAGGCATGGCTCCTGGTTACAGAGTTCTGGGGCCAGAATTCTGCCCTGGGCCCTCCTCACTCTGTCATCTCTTGCACTGCAGTCTAGGGTCCAGATAGATTTCCAGGATGCAGCACATTCACACCTCCAGGCCAGAACCCTTGCTCAGTCCCAGTGCCTGCACCAGGTCATCTCCGAGCCCACTCTTCAACGTCCGTCTCACTGCAGGGACAGAACAGGGTTGGAGGGGGTTGATGGGGTTCAGGTGGGCAGTGGGGTTGTGGGGGGTTACTTACAAGATTTGCGGTTGCCACGGGAACGCTTGCGTTCCCTAGCAGCTAAGGCACGAGGACTGCTCTTGGTCACAGACTGCACCAGTAGGTCCATGATCTCATCTGATGTATCACTGGGTAAACTGGAGCCTGGAGGTTCTTCTGGGGGTACAGTGGAAGGCCCCACTGTGGGCATGATTGGGGAGCTGCTCTGGACCATGCCTGAGGGAGGCAAGATAGGGAGGTCAGGCCAAGGTGGTCCTGGAGCCCAATCCCCCAGCAGCTGTGGGTCTCACCTCTGCTGCGGCGATTGTGTGTGGTGTCCTCAGGCCTGCTAGTCAGCAGACTCTTCATACTAGCATGACTGTCAGCGTCTCCCCGGCCTGGCCCACTGCTCACAGCCACTGGGACAGAGGGGTTGCTGGGGGCTTCCCCAGCCACACCTGAAAACTTCTCTGTCTGGAGAGGGAAGAAAGGTGAGTTGGGAGGAGCGAAGGAAACCATGGGGGTGGCAGTCAAGACTAAGACCTGGAAGGGCATCCACCTCGGTGATCATGCGTCCTCGGGTCTTGTTGCGCTCACGGTATGTGGCCCGCTTCTGCTGCTGCTGTAGCACTCGTTCCCGGCAAGTCCGATACTCAAGTGCAAACTCCCGCAGTGTGTGGCAGAACTGCGTGATGCGCACTTCACGGGCTGCCTGTGGGGTGTAGCCCAGGTAGAGCAGGAAGGCATGGAACCTAGGCAGGTGGGAGTAGGTAGGGAAGGTGAGTCCTGCTTGTTGTCTGAGGGAGGGTGGTGGTGATCCTGCCCCTCTTGGGCCCATACCCCTACCTATTGCAGACACGGCGGTGCACTATCTTCAGCATGGCAACACGGCGGGCACACTGGGCCAGGAAGTGGGTGAGGCGGGCACGCAGGGCTGGGGCCAGCTCATGCTTGGCCAAGCTCCGCAGGCTCTCCTCAGCTGCCCGGCTTCGGCGCTCCAGCTGCCCAAGGCTTTCAGTCAGCTGCTCAAAGTCCACCTGGGAGAGCAAGGGGGTGTGCACTGTCTCCCCACACCTGGTAGACGAGACACTGCCCGAGGCTGCCTTTGGGCCAGATGGGCCAGCTTGGGCTCTAAGGAGACATCCAAAAACTCATAGATATCCAAAAACTCATAGACTCTTGCATTACAAGAGACAGACAAGTCAATTTGATATGATGAGGGACAGAAGGTTTCTTGGGGGAAGTGGCAGTTAGAAACAGACCCAAAGACTGAGTAGGTGTGGCCAGGCTAATAGAGGAAAGAACATTTCTGGCAGAGGGCATAGCTCACACTAAGGTGGCTGGACCAAACCCTGGCACAGCAGCCCAAATAGGGAGGAGGAGGAGGAGCCAGGCCCAGGAAGCAGCGCTCCCTCATGCCTCCTCTGGCTTTGGTTGATTCTGGCAGGTGCTAACCTTGGCACAGCGGGTCAGGGCAGGGATTTCTGAGTAGAGGTCAGAGGATTCAGGCTGGGTCTGGAGCACTAGGGAGCAGAGATGGTGTAGCAGTGACTGCCGGCGCACGGTGTCCTTCACCTCTGACACCTTCTCCAGGTAGCTCAGCTCAAAGCCGCTGCTCTGAAAGGACCCTTTCTGAGCCTGGGCCTGGTTGGCTCCAGAGCCCTGACTCCCCAGTCCCCATGTACTTTACTCACCTGAGAGCCATTGAGGAAGTTGCCCACAGCTAGGAGGGTAGCCAGGATGCAGCGGAAGGTGGCATTCTGTACCAACTGTTCCATACCCACTTTTAGGTCAAACAGTGGCTCAGCAATTTCCTGGTATGGGGGACCAGGGATTCTCAGACTACATGGTCATGATGCTTACCTGTACCTACTGTCTATCCCACTCCAAGACCCAGGTACCCGCTCCATGCTGTCATAGTCCAGCTTGAAGGCCCAGAGTTGTAGACGACCAGCGAGGCCACTAATGGAGGCAAGAGTCATCAGGAAGTTCTCGGCTGGGCCCAGGGGTATGTCAGGGTTGGCCAGCTGGGCTTCCTCGATCTTCTGCTGTTCCTCCTCCGTGGGCATCATGGTCAGTAGCTTCTGAGGATGTAGCCAGAGCCTGACATGGCCCCCTCAGTGCAGGCCTGAGGCCTCAGGCATTGGTCTTCACCCCTCCCTCAGTCATCTAGGGGAGGTCCCAAAGTCTGGGGACTGCCCTGCAGAAATGCCAAGCCCATGCCCACCACTGGAGGGACAGGAAATGCCCACCTACCAAGGAGAGGGCCAGACCTCCCACCCACCAAGGGGCATAGCTGGGTGTCCCCACCTCGATGCCATCCTTGCTGACAGCAAACTCATCAAAGTTGAGCAGGGCAGCCTTAATGACATGCACAGGTGGCAATGTGGTTAGGCCAATATTGATGGCATTGCTGCGCTTGGGGTCCAGCACTGTGGTCATTGTCCGACGGCCCTCACCAGCTTTCTGCATGGTTGGGGGAAGGGCAATGTAAGACTGAGGAAGGGACTAGCTGGGACAATAATCTAAGCGGGCACTCCAAGGCCCTCCTCTAAGTAGCCAGATGATGGGCCAGGCGCGGTGGTTCACGCCTGTAATCCCAGCACTTTGGGAGGCATAGGTGGATCACTTGAGGCCAGGAGTTCGAGACCAACTTGGCCAACGTGGTGAAACCCCATCTCTAAAAAAAAAAAAAAAAAAAAAATAGCCAAATGATCCCACAACTGACTGGCAACCTGGGATGTATAAGACATTGGGATGAGTTTAGATTCTTTTGAGACAAGGTCTTGCTCTGCCACCCAGGCTAGAGTGCAGTGGTGCCATCATAGCCCATTGCAGTTTATCTTCTGAGATCTTCCTGCCTCAGCCTCTCAAGTAGCTGGGATTCCAGGCATGAGCTACCAAGCCCGGCTAATTTTTATATTTTTAGTAGAGATGGGAGTTTCACCATGTTAGCCAGGCTGGTCTCCAACTCCTGGTCTCAAGTGATCTGCCTGCCTTGGCCTCCCAAAGTGCTGGGATTACAGGAGTAAGCTACCGTGCCTGGCCAATTTTGTTTTTTAACATTTATTTATTTATTTATTTATTTGAGTTCGGGGCTTGCTCTGTCACCCAAGCTGGAGTGCAGTGGCACAATCTCGGCTCACTGCAACCTCCACCTCCTGGGTTCAATTGATTCTTCTGCCTCAGCCTCCCAAGTAGCTGGGATACAGGCACCCATCACCATACCTGGCTCATTTTATATTTAGTAGAGACGGGGTTTTGCCAATTTGACCAGGCTGGTCTCAAACTCCTGACCTCAAATGATGCACCCACCTCAGCTTCTCAAAGTCCTGGGATTACAGGCATGAGCCTCTGCACTTGGCCCAACTTTTAATAGAGATAAGGGCTCATTATGTTGCCCAGGCTGGTCTCAAACTCCTGGATTACAGGCATGAGCCACCATGCCCAGGCAACTGGATTCTAGTTGGGGCACTGCTGATCCCTTGTTAGGAGACCTTGGACAATTCCCTACTCCTTTCTTTGCCTTGGTTTCCCCATGTGGGAAGTGAGTGACTAGCTCCAACAGGTCAGATCCTTGAGCTCTGATTCCCTGCCACCTCCATTGGGGCTACCATGCAGATCCGTAGATGTACCTTGGAGGGCAGCACGTCTTTGGCACGGGACTCAAAGAGGTGTTCTAGCCGGGCCGTATCCACTGAGACGGGCTCCAGTGAAGCCCAGAGGGTGGCGCAGGGCCCAAAGCGGCTTGCAGAGACTCCATGGCCCCCAGCCAGCTTTAGCTCATGCCAGAAAAGTTTTACTGTTTTCCTCTTGGTGGGGAGGGCTGCACTGTCAGGCACTGAAGGGGGAAGAGTCACAGCCAGAGGTGGCGGTGGTGGGAAGGGGCCTTTGATGGGTGGGGGAGGTAGAGGTGGGGGAGGGGGGGGGCCTCCAGAGAAGGGGGGCGGGGGGGGGGGGGGAGGTGGGACCCCTTTCCCAACTTCCACAGACTCTACATTCAGCATGTCCTGATCTTCGTCCTCCCCCAGATCTGAGAAGTCCAGGTCCCCAATGCAGAGCTTGGGTGCACGGGTAGGGAGCTCCCAGGTGGGCTCAGCCTTGGGGCTTGATGACATCAGTGGCTCCTTGGGCTCTGGCTCAAGGCTTCGCTGGGTCCGGAGCAGGACACGGGGGGCAGGGCTATGGGGTGTTCTGGGTACAAGGGCTGTCTCTGGGGAGTCCCAGATTTCCTGGGCATCTAAAGAAAGGGAAGCAGCTGTCAGTGCCATGCCCTCTGTGGGGCAACAGAGCAACAGGCAGACTCTGCCCACCCACCCACCTACTCACCTGAGTGTCCATCTGCCTCATCAGGCATGGCCCCAGCCAATGTCTCTGCCCAGCCCTGGGCCAGTGCAACCTGCTTCTCTGTTTCTGCTGCCGCCACATTCTCCAGGAACCGGGTTCTGAGGGGAGTGCTTGTCAGTGACTGTCTGACACACCCCAGCCCAGGTGCACATGCCTTGCTGAGCCCCTGGACACCACCCCCAGTTGTAGGCACACACACACGGGGAACAGTCCATGCGCTGAGCAGACCAGAACCGCCCCACAAGGCCAGCCTCTCTTCAGTCCTCCACATGTGGGGAGGATTACTACCAACCCAGCATTCCCAGGTGAAAATAGAGGGAGAATTAACATCTAACTCGAAACTTCGTTCATGTTCACTGTCCTGAATTTTTTTTGTTTGTTTTTTAGAGACAGCGTCTCATTCTGTCAGTCACCCAGGACGGAGTACAGTGGTGTAATCATAGCTCACTGCAGCCTCAACCTCCTGGGCCTGAGCCTCAGCCTCCCAAGTAGCTGGGACTACAGGCATGTGCCACCATGCCCAGTTAATTTTTGTTTTTGTGGAAACAGGGTCTCACTTTGTTGCTTAGGCTGGTCTTGAACTCCTGGCCTCAAGCAATCCTTTCAACTCAGCCTCCTGAAGTGCTGGGATTACAGGCATCAATGAGGTACTCAGCCAAATTCTTAAAAATTTCTCTGTAGAGACAAGGTCTTGCTATGTTGCCCAGGCTAGTGTCTTGAGGCTAGACAAGGACTCTTAGAGCAGGGGAAGGGGACAGCTGTCCCAATGGCTATATCAGGCTGTCCCTCCTCTGGCATGTCTGGTAGCTTCTGGGAGCCTATGTCCAGGAAAGGGCCTGGTAAACAGGCCAGGCGCAGTGGCTCATGCCTGTAATCCCCGCGCTTTGGGAGGCAGAGGTGTGTGGATCACTTGAACTCAGGAGCTGGAAACCAGCCTGGCTAACATGGTGAAATCCTGTGTCTACTAAAAATACAAAAATTACCCAGGCGCCATGGTGCAGGCCTGTAATCCCAGCTACTTGGGAGGCTGAGGCAGGAGAATTGCTTGAACCTGGGAGGCGGAGGTTGCAGTTAGCTGATACTGTGCCATTGTACTCTAGTCTTGGAGACAGGGCAAGACTCTGTCTCAAAAAAAAAAAATAAGTTCATGGTAAACATTGAACACCCAGTTTATGCTAAAATAATGGGTGCAATCCAGTATCTCTTTTCTGGCCCCTCCAGCCTCTGTCGGCTTTCAGTCCCTGCCTTTCCCTCAGTCTTAGGTAACCCCTCCACCCTCACACCACACAGCACCCTAGGTCTCCTCCCTGTCCATTCCTGAGCTGAGGACATGGCAGAATGAGCCCCATATTGGGCATCCACATCCCCATCTCTGGCTGCTAAGGTGTCACTACTGAAGCACAGGGACCACCGTGGCCCCAGTGAATTGCTTCCCAGTGTTTAGCTTTTGGGTTACCAAGGTGGCATATGTCTAGGAGAGGATAGGCCTGAGAGTCCCCCAGCTCTGGCTGCATCAGGCATGTGGAACCCCAGCTGGGGAAGCAATGCTGAAGCCCTGAGCACATGGCAGGCCTGGCAGGCTGGCCTCTGTACTTACTCCAGCCTGGCCTGCCCAGGAGGGGACTGGGGGACGGGTGGGCTCTCACGGGCCCTGGGTAGGGGGGATGAGAGGAAGAGATGGTAACTGTGGTGCCAGCTCCATGGTTGCTCATACCCACACAGAGCTGGGCAGTGATATTGGTGTTCCTTCCCAGCTGCAGTGGGAAGGGGGGAAGGCATGACATGAGGATACTGGAAGTGGAGGGGAGAGACTGACGTGAAGCAGGACAGGGTGCAGGAAGAGACAGTGGCAGCAGAACAAGGGAGTGACAGACAGATAGGGGATAGGAGACATGACCAGAGGCAAAGACAGGCAGAACGTCAGGAGACAAAGGAAGCCATGGAAGGAGGAGATCCAGTCAGAGCAGAGCCCCACCCGCTGGCAGTCACTTACCAAACAGGAGCAGTTTGGTGAAGTCTGGAAAGAGAGACAGAAAGCACGAGTTTGGGCAGAGGAGGTTGAGGGCCCATGGAGGGGCGCAAAGCAGAGGGACAGTGGGAGAGGGGACTCCAGGGTGGCCTCTGTCTCCCTACTTACTTGTAGATGCTCCTCTCGCTGGAGGTGTCAGCCGAGGGTGCCAGAGAGATAGTAGGGAAAAGGTTCACTGAAGCTTGGAGGCCAGAGGGAGGGCTCATCGGGCTGGAGGTGGGGCTGGTGGAAGAGGTGGGGCCTACTGGTGAGGCGGGACCTGTGGAGCTGGAGGCAGGGGCTGTCAGTGGGGTGAGGCCTGAGGAGCTGGAGGTGGGGCCTGTCAGTGGGGCAGGGCCTGAGGGGTGGGGGTCAGGGCCTGTCAGCTGACAGGGCCCTGCCTAGTAGATCCACCGTTCCCCATCTACCGAGGCTCATACTTACCCAGGTTCTGGGGCACGCACAGGGCAGCCCCCGCCTTCCAGAGATCGGCGGCTCCTCTTGCCCTCCTCAGAAGAAGGCTTTCGTCGTTCCCGCCGCCCACCCATGCCTGGGGCTTCCTCGATGTCTCCATCTTCCAATTTCAGGGCGTTCTAGCAGTGGTGGACCATGATGTAAGCAAGTGGTTAACATGCATGCAGGTGGGGTGAGGTGCTGGGGACTGCACTTCTCTCTTCCCTCCTTCCGGTCCCCCTCAGAGCCTAGGGTCCGGCCCACCTCATAGAGCACAAGCTGTGTGCGCAGGTCGACGTCAGTGCCTGCAGTGCCCAGGTGGCGCTGGACCAGTGCTTCCATGCCCTGCTGCTCCAGTGCATCCGTCACATCGTAGAAGGAGTCCTGGTCTGGAAGCGCTGCCAGTGTCTGGAGGGCGGAGATAAGAAGGCAAGGCTGAGGTTGGTGGGGAGGTCAGGAACCCGAGCAGCCCAGAGCTGGCACCCAGTTCTTGACCACACCTTGTTGATGAGGGTGACCGTGTACACCAAAAGCTCAGGGTCAGTGCCATTCTTCTCTAACAGGATGGACACCAGATTGGCCCAAGGAGGAGCACCTGCCACACAGAAAGTGTCATGGGGGGACAGGTAGGAGAGAGGGTTGTGAGTGGTGGGGGAGGAAGGGACAGTCTCTGACCGGTGGCGCTGGCCACAGAGTTGACTGCACGGATGAACAGCGGGGCGTTGTTTTCCGAGTATTCTACAAACACCAACAGCAGCTTCAGGGCTGTCTTCACCACCAAGCGGGACTGAGGGGAGAGGTCAGCACATATAAGTGGGGCTTAGGCCAGACCTGTGCCAGCTCCTGCTGGAGAAGGGGAAGGGCTTTTGGGGCTGGACCCAGAGAGGAGAATCTAGACAGAATGACTCTGCTCCAGGCCCAGGCACTGAAGTGCCTTCTAGGCTTAAAGAGGCCTCAGACTCACTCACTCCCAGCCTACTTTGCGGAACAGGAAACTGAGGCCCAGAGAGAAGCAATAGGCAAAGGGTATAAGGCCGGGTGGAGAGCCACTTACCAGGCTGGCACACAGTGTGTACAGCCACTGAATAGTCTCACTGTGGGCCACCACCCCCAGCATTCCATCCACAAAGAGCATCAGCTGGCCAAGTGCTGGGGACACAGGGATGAGCAGAGTCAGTGAGGGTCGCTGGAGCAGAGGTCATGGGGGAGGGGTGGGGCTGACCTCGAAGGATGTAGCTCTGGTAGTTGTGGTCGGCAGCAGCACCCACACGGATCAGGCAGCTCAGCCCCTCTGAATGCACAAATTCAGGCACTAGGTCTTGGTCCTCCTGGGGGCACCATGGGAGAGTTTAGCAAGGCTTGGACTGTACACCCACCCCTAGCCCACTGTGGGGCCTCACCTGGAAGATCTGTTTCAGTGAGAAGAGGGAGCGGCGGAGCTCTGGACCACTGGAGCCATACAGCTTTTCTGCAAAAGGTAGGGCATGAAACCCTCTAGGGTACACAGACTCACTGTCTTCCTCTATTGGGACACAGCCACAACTTCCACCAAAGAATAGTCATATATATAAACAGTCACATATATGAATATGTATACATACATACATATATATATATACACACATACATATATATATATTTTTGTCTAAGAGGGTCTCACTCTGTCACCCAGGCTGGAGTGCAGTGGCACAGTCATAGCTTACTGCAGCCTCAAACTCCTAGCCTCAAGCAATCCCTCCCACCTTGACCTCCCAAAGCAATGGCATTGCAAGTACCTGGTCTGTACTAACATTCTTGAACCCCCCTCCACTCCCACCCTGGCCCTGGAAGGAGAGGTCAGGATAGGGAAAGGAAGAAGCACATCCAGCTGAACCTGCTCCTCCCACTGTTCAGCACAGGCTTGAAAGTGAGCCAACTGGGCTATGGGGAGGAGGTGCTGCTGGACACGGATGCCCTCACACACTCACCCAAGATGGCGTTGACCCTCACAGAGAGCTGGGTCCGAAGAATCAGCGTGGGCTTCCGCCCTTTGCTGGAATCAAGGATCCCTGTCAGCAGCTGCCAGCCTATCCCTCAGCATCCCTCCCCATAAACCAAGGGAGCCAAAGACCTCCCCATGCCAACCCCAGCCCAACTCTTTCCTCCCCAGCTGCTCCACCAAGGACCCAAGGGTTGGCCAGACAAGAAGGTTGGTGCAAACATATGTTTCTCAGGTATGTGGGAGAGCCCCTGACTCCCATCTTGGGCAGCAGGTAACACTGGCCAGGCTTTAGAATTCCCTTGGCCAGTTCCCTGTGGCAGGAGGTGACCCATGGCACAGTTCCCTGGGGCAGGAGGTGACCCATGGCCCAGGCTAGCGATCAAGTGTCTCAGCTGCTGACATTTGAGCCAGCCCCTGGCAAGGGTGGGTATAACCTTGCCTCCCTGGCCCCATCAGTTCTGACCTGATCTCTTCATAGAAGCCCTCCAGCATCTCCCGCTGCTCTTCCAGGGACAGCTCAGGGTCCAGGTAGTATCCAGAGGGAGACACTTGCAGAGCACAGTCCTCCAGCTGGGGACAAAAGGGACAGCTTGAGACTGAGGAAAAGGTGGCAGGGGAATGTATGAAGACCCCTGACCTCTTAACTCCCAGTTTGGGGGTGGCAGAGAGACACAGGGTCTGCACTACAGCCATGCATTTCTTCAGCAGTTGTTTTTCTTTTCTTTTTTTTTTTTTTTGGGATGGAGTTTCGCTCTTGTTACCTAAGCTGGAGTGCAATGGCGCGATCTCAGCTCACCGCAACCTCCGCCTCCTGGGTTCAGGCAATTCTCCTGCCTCAGCCTCCTGAGTAGCTGGGATTACAGGCATGCACCACCATGCCCAACTAATTTTTTGTATTTTTAGTAGAGACAGGGTTTCACCATGTTGACCAGGATGGTCTCGATCTCTTGACCTCGTGATCCACCTGCCTCTGCCTCCCAAAGTGCTGGGATTACAGGCTTGAGCCACCGTGCCCGGCCAGCAGTTGTTTTTCAAATGCCTACTATGTGCAAAGCCCATTTGTCTCAGGCATCAGGCCTTCTTGCCCTTTGTCTCTGCCATTTCCTCTCCTGGCTGACACCTACCTACTCTTTAGGTTGCTGTGCAACCCACTCCACCCTGTGTGTGTGCTATCCTCGGAGACCTTCCACACAACATTCTAATATCCGAGCCTCTGGTCTCCTTCCCTTCTAGCTGTGTTCTCTGCATTCAGGCACTCCATCTGTCTTGCTCCCTGCTGTATCTGTAGAGCCTGGCATAGCACCTGACACGTGGTAACCACTCACTAAGGCTTGTTGAGCTAATGAACACAGATGAGGAAGGGGAATTAAGAGAAGATGGGAGGAAGTTCCTGCCTTCGAGGAAGCTCACAGCCTTGTGGGGTGAAAAGCTGTAGTCACAAAGCATTAACCCCCAGAGAGAAAGTGTTAAGAGGCTGGGAGGTGCAAACCCATCCGGGAGAGTGTGTCTGTGTGTGTCTCAGTGAGTAAGAGGGTGAAGAACAGGGTCTGATCTATAGACTCCCCAGTCCCACCAGATTTCCGGGTCTTTGCCCTCCCCAAAGTGGGCTTCAGTTACAATGGTCCTAGCTGGACTTCAGAGAACCCCCACAAGAGGGCCTGTTAAAAAACAAACTTAAGGCTGGGCATGCTGGCTCACACCTGTAATCTCAGCACTTTGTGATGCCAAGGCAGGCGAATAACTTGAGGTCGGGAGTTCGAGACCAGCCTGGCCAACATGGTGAAATTCCATCTCTACAAAATACAAAAATTAGTCGGGCATGATGGCGGGTGCATGTAATCCCAGCTACTAGGGAGGCTGAAGCTGGGGAACTGCTTGAACCTGGAAGGCGGAGGTTGCAGTGAGCTGAGACCACACCATTGCACTCCAGCCTGGGTGACAGAGACTCCTTCTCAAAAACAAAACAAAATAAAACAAAACAAAACAAAACAATTTAGAGTCTGACTCAGTCTACAGTAGGACCCTGAGTCCAGCCTTTTTAACAGGCAGGCACATGCTCCATCCACATGTCCATCTCCCATGTTTCCCTCCCTGAGCCTGGCTCTCCTCCCCTGCCACAGGGCATGGTACTTGAGAAGTGCCTGTAGAGAAGCCTGAGGGAGGTGACTCCTGAGTCAGAGTGTGGCACTCTGCCTCTCCCAGATAGCTCCCCCATTGCACAGTGCAGGTATGCAGGCTCAGCAAAGTCCCCTTGACTTAAGTGGCTCTGGCCCTTGAGATGCCTTGGCCCAGAGAGCCCACCTCTGAAGAGGCAGGGGGTATTCCAGTCTCCATCTTACTGGGCATGTCGATTTCAACATTTGTCCTGCTGTTTGGTCAGCCCTGCCCTGTTCTGGACCCTGCCCAAGGGCTTCCAACTGGCCTTGGTCCCCTGGGGAAAAGGGAGGCCAGCTCCTGCCCCAGCTCCCGCCTCTGTTTAGCACCCCTTGCTCCTGCCTCAGAGCCTGACCTGGCTCCTTCCCCACAGTTTAGCCTGTGGGGCCCTTGGGTGATCCCCACACCCCCTCGCCTGGGACCTGGGACATAGGACAAACACTCCAGCCTGTTCTCTGTCCCACTTCCTGCCTGGCTGCATGCCCTCCCCAGGGTGCCTTGGGCGGGCCTGGCCGCTTTCCCCTCCCTGGGAGCAGAGTCATCTTCTCCAGAGCCTACTGGGAGCAGGCCTGAGAAGGGGCAGCAAGGCCTGAGGGCTGGGGTGTCTTGTCCAGGGCCAGCTCAGCTGAGGGCAGCCCACATTCCTCCTGATCTCTCTTCCCACACAGTGACTCAGCAGCCTACCACCCCACCCCCATTCAGGCACAGCCATTATCTCCCTCCCTTGGCCTGGAGGATTCTGGAACCCTAGAGGAAGATACCTCCCCCAGAGCCACCCCCGTCAGGGATTCCCCCCCAAATCACACACGTATAGAACAGCTCATTCATTTGAACATTCATGAACCCGCTGGTTTCAGATGCAGAGGACCTAGCAGGAATCAGACACTGCCTTTGCCTTCCCTTCCTTCCTTGTAGCCCAGTGGGGAAGACAGACAGACTTAACTCAGAAAACACAAAATCACAACTTCCAAGGGTGCTAAGAAAGGGGAGGGGAGATCATGTTACACCTGGTAACTGCTTACATACCCAGGTATAAGGTCGGCTTTGAAGTGGCCAACAGTTCAAACACGGGCTGAAGCAGCACAGCCCCAGAAAGGTCAGGCCCACCACACTGTCCTGTGCTCTTGCATGCTCTAATCCCAAGGGAGCAGAGAATGGCCCCTTTCCTTCCAGGAGAACTGGGACACCTGCATCCATTTGGGGCAGGGTCCTGAAGGGTAAGTGGTCCACCCCTTTTTTTTTTTTTTTTTGAGATGGAATCTCAGTCTGTCTCCCAGGCTGGAGTGCACTATGGCAAGATCTCAGCTCACTGCAACCTCCTCCTCCCAGGTTCAGGTGATTTTCCTACCTCAGCCTCCCAAGTACCTGGCATTACAGGCGTCCACCACCATGCCTGGCTAATTTTTGTATTTTTAGTAGGGATGGGGTTTCAGCATGTTGCCCAGGCTGGTTTTTGAACTCCTGACCTCAAGTGATCCACCAGCCTCTGCCTCTCAAAGTGCTGGGATTACAGGTGTGAGCCACTGCACTCAGCCAATTGTCCCCCTTCTCTAGTCTTCTTAGCTGAGCAGATTCAACCCTGTCGTCGTGGCAGTGTCCTCCTCAGCCACTTCGCCTGTCCAATCCTACCAGGGCCCCATTTCTGGGGAGGAGGTCTAGGAAAACAGGCAGTCTAGTGCCTTCCAGGACAGAGTCTCCCCACCCCCAGCTGTCCTGCGTGGAAGTTGGGGGTGGTAGGCTAGAGTCAGGCAAGCAGCAAAGAGCAGGAGACTTCCTGCCAGCAGGATGGTACTTGTCCCTCATACCCCTGGCCCCTTCCTGGGGTCACCCTTCTGAGAAAGCCAAACTTCTGGGCCTTGTTTCTCACACCCTGGGGCTGGGCCAGGCTTGAGTAAGCCCAAACCCTGGTCCTTGCTGACAGGGCTTAAAGTCAGCATGTAGTATGGACCCACATCCCTGACACCTTCCTGGCTCTTGTCTTCCTCACTTCTCTGGTCTCTGTCTTGGGGTAGAGTCCTTCCCTCATTCTTCCCAGGCTCAGCTTCTCACTTTGGCCTTCAGCCCACTGTTCTCTTGACTCTCCAGGCCCAGGCTTTTCTGGCAGCCCAAAACCAACTGGTTACATATGGTTTTATATGCAAGATCAAGCTCAGGGGAACATGGCATCTACTTCTCTCTCTTTCTAAATATGTATCTATATCTATATTATAGACATCTATCTATAATATAGATGTCTATAGGTATTGATAACCTATATCTATCATATCTATTATATATATATCTAGCAATTATATATATCTATTATCTAATATACATATATATTTTCCCCTTTTGTTTTTTGGACTGTCTTACCCGATATTTTTAATAACAGTGTAATCAGGTAAGACTGAACATACTAGAGCAGGGTACAGGGAAGATGGAAAAGGGGTGGGATTATAGGCTGAAGGGCTTCTGTTTTAAAAAATAATTGGTTAACTGCCTCTTTTGTCTCCTTTCCTATAAACACAGGACCCAGTGTTCTAAAGACCCTCCTTTCCTGTTATCGTGGGTCTCCAACTAGAGAGTGACTTCCTGAATGAGATGACATGGATGGCCCTTGGGGAGGGAAATCCACTTTTGTTATCTTTTCATTATGCTTCCTCTGTGGCACTGGGCTGCCTCTTTCTTTCTTTCTTTCTTTCTTTTTTTTTTTAAATAGAAATAGGGTCTATATTGCCCACACTGTTCTTGAACACCTGGCCTCAAGCAGTCCTCTAGCCTTAGCTTCCCAAAGTGCTGAGATTACAGGCGTGAGCCATGAGAAGCCCAGCCTGAGCCGTCTATTTAATTTGATTCTACCAATAATCCTTTTACAGATGGGGAAACCAAGAATGAGAAAATTAGCACATTGCCCCAGGCTGCATAGCCAGGAGCCATGGCTAATTGATGCCATCTTGGGCGGATGGGCCCTGGAAGTGCTCCAGGGAACCCTAGAGGGGAGGTGGAGTGAGGGCTGGGACCCGCAGGATTGCCAAGAGCTGAAGACATCCTCTTAGCTTTCTGGACTCCAAACTGGCCCTCCCAGTTCCAGCAAGGGAACACCAGTAGACACACATACCTCATACAAGCTAGGATAATAGTATCTACCTCTGCCAAGACCTAAGTGCCAGGGTCCCGCACCAGGCTGCAGCTTAGCCACTTTGTTCCAGTATAACCAGCCGATTGGATGGACCAGCCCGCAGAGGAGGCCAGGAGACCAGGGCTCATTCCCACACTCCAGTTTTCTACAGTCTCCCAGACTCCTGAGATGTAAAAAGGCTAGATGGGTTGGGGTAAGGTCAGGAAACATTTCAGGACAGTGCCACCACTGTCCTGCTCTGATTTTTAGCCACAGCTAGGAAAACAAAGTTGCTTATAATGACCAGATTTCTAAGGCCATCCCCACTGCCAGGGGGAGAGGGCTTGCCTGGCTTTGCAGCAGGGTCAGGGAAGCACCCCAGGCCCCCTTACCCAGAGCTCAGGGAGAAAAAAGTCAGTGCTATACGCGGTGTGGTGAGGGCCTTGGGTATCAGAGAGAGGCTCCTGAGACACTTCCCAGAAGGGAGAGGGTAGGACTGGGAAGCTCTGGATTAGGAGATGAGATACAGGGCCAGAGGGACACATTCTCCCCTGGGGCAAAGGCAGGTCCCTGGGCTGGGGGAATATTTTGCATGGAGGGGAGGAAGGCACTCCTGAGTTCCCCCTCAACACTAGGTCTGGCCCAAGGCACTGTCAGGCTTCCCTCCACCAACCAGGGCCAGGAGATGAGTCAGAGGCTGTGGCCAGGAGCTTCCTCCTAGACTAGGAGGAAATGAGCAAGGCTTTCTCAGACCTGAAAACTCTTTAAAAAGGAAGCCCTCAGGGGAACTCTAAGGGCTGGGCTTGGTCCAAAAGGGTATGCAGGTGGAGCCCCAGGGAGAAAGCAGGCTGGCCTCGGTACATCCCCAGGGAGGGGGGTCATCTGCTGGGATGATCAGGGCCAGTGCCCAGGGCCAGTACTCAGAGGAAGACAGAGGCCACTGCTGTGTCCTGTCCTCTGTCCTATCCTACTGTACATAGGATAAAGCAATGAGTAGAGAACATCCTCCTTTTATTTCTGCCCTACAGCTTGGGACAGGGATGCCTGGGCTTCTGGGCCACCTTTCCCCTCTAGAGGGCCAGCAAGACAGTCCTAAGTCATGTCTGTGCCTCTGGGGCACCCACTTATAGGACTATGGGAGGAACCAGTTGTTGACATTTCCTGCAAGGAGGGGCCCTGCTCCCCCTCGCTCAGCTCTCTGATGTCCCTGCCCCTGCCCTATTCTCGGCCCCTCTTCCTCCAGCCTTCTATTCTGGGGCTGCGGTCACAGTTTATATTTGGGTTGAGCACATCACAGTGCATCTGACCATTCCTGGCAGAGCTGCTAGCCCCAGGGAGTCCTGGCTCTGGGTATTGTGGTAACCTAGTGTACCGCCACCTCCATATCCCTGTGGGGGAGGGGAGGCAGTCCTCAGGTACTCCAGGTGGGAGAACATGAAACTGGGGAGACCAGGAAGGACTGCATTGGGGATGGGAAACTTATATTCTCCATTGGAGCTCTGTAGTGTCCTCAGCAAAGGAGCAGGGAACAGAGGGCAGAGCACCTTGTGGGGTCAGGTGGGGAAATGGGTCCCATGAGATGAGATGGAAGGGGTGGTTCTGAGCCTCTTTCTTGCAGCTGACCTCCCAGGCCTGCCCCCAGTTGGGAAGCGGGGCATCAAGGGGCTGGGCACGGTGGCTCATGCCTGTAATCCCAGCACTTGGGGAGGCCAAGGCAGGCAGATCACCTGAGGTCAGGAGTTTGAGACCAGCCTGGCCAACATGACGAAACCCTGTCTCTATTAAAAATAAAAAAATTAGCTGGGCGTGGTGACGCACGCCTGTAAACCCAGCTGTTCAGGAGGCTGAGGCAGAATTGCTAGAATCCGGGAGGCGGAGGTTGCAGTGAGCCAAGATGGCTCCACTGCACTCCAGCCTGGGCACAGAGCCAGAATCCATCTTAAAAAGAAAAAGTGTGTGTGTGTGTGGGGGTGTCAGGGTTAGGTCCAATCCTTGAGTGGCAGGATAAGAGGAATACTACCTTTTCTCTAGTGCCCCACCCTTATTTCAGGACCAGGACTTTAGGAGCCTGGAAGGGGGAACCAGTCACAATTCAGCACTCCTGTCTTCCCAGCCCCCAGCCTGAATGGGAGGTGGCCTTCAGCTGCACACGCTTCTTCCAAGGACACCTCAATTTGCCCCTCTGAATAGGGCAGGACAAGTGGGGTCTGCGTCAAAACTCAGGCGGTAGGCAGTGTGCTGCATCCTTTGGCCTTGAAGCCGGGTGGGGGGCCACTCCCCAGGCCAAAAGTCTCACCCCTTCCGCTAGCGCTCAGAGGCGGGGCCGGCCTCAGGGCGAGGAATGCGGGCTGGGGGCCCGGGGCACATTCCAAGGGAGACCCTGGGCCCAAGGGGCAAGTTTACGCAACGCGGCGCCCAGCTGAGGCTGGGAGCAGGGGAGGGCAGCCACAACGACTCCCTCCTCTCTTCCCCAGCACTCGAGGCGGCCGGACTGGCGGGGAGCCTGGGGGTGGTAGTAGTGCGCCTCCCAGAGTCCTGGCCCGGAAACAGCGTGCCGGAAAGGGCTGCTTGCGGGGGGCTGAGGGCGGTGAGAGGGAGGGGAGAAGAGGTATGCTGGCCATCTGGAAAAGGGCCTCCTCCCGCACAGTGCACAAGTCGGCTTCGGGGCGGCAGCAAAGTAGAGCAGGCCGGCGGTTTAAAATTAGCCTGGCCCTCCCTCTCACTTCCAGGAGCGGGCCGATGGGCGGCGAGTGTCGGGGGATGGGGAGCGGGAGCGGTGACTCAAAGGGCTTTTCCACCCGTGCAGCCTCCTGCGCTCTGCGAATCCCAGGCCAGACCGCTTCCCGGGGACTCCCCTCACTCCGTGAAGTCTCTCCTTGGCCGGCACTCCCTTGTTCCCACTGACCTACAGGGTCAAGCCCCAATCCAGCTTCATGACACCGCGGGAAACCTCTGCCACCTCTAGTAGCCAGCCCCGGGCCCGCCTCTCCTCGGGGTCCCGCCCCCACCTCACCTGAAGCAGGTGGAAGCTGGTCCCTCCTCAGCTGCGCCTCCAGGGTCCACTACGGCCCAAACAGTTACCGTCACCCTGACCAGGGAAGCCACCCTGGCAAACGGATGGCGAGTGGAACTCGAGCACCTCCCCGGGTGCGCCTAATTCGAAGGGAGGCCAGAATGCCGGGGACAAGTTTCTAGCACCCCTCTTCAGTTTCCCCTCAACTTGAGAGGGGACTCCCCCCGCAGGAAGGACAGCGTGGACCCTGGGACGCCAGTCCAAGACTTTTCGGGAGAGCACTTGCTCCAGCCTTTTCCCGAAGTGTACCTCCCACCAGCTTTCATAGCGCCCACCCTAAACCCTCTATTGCCCCAACCTTTCTCCAGCCCCCCTCACCTTGAGCGGCGCCCCTAGCAGGCGGTGCAGCGCGGGTATCTGCGCGCCCAGGGGCAGCGCCCCGTCCAGGGTGCAGGTGGGGGCCCGGCGCGGCTCCGGGAAGTTGGCACACGCGAAGGGGTCCGTGTCTTCCAGGTACTGCACCCTCACGGTCACCACTGATACCCGCTCCCCGTCCCCGCTGTCGTCCCCGCCCGCCATGGCTTTGCCGCCGGCTCGCGCGGCGAACCTCGGAATCCCGGCCCCACAGCAGCTTCTGCTCCGGCACACTGTAGCTCTGCTGTTCAGGCTGGGCCCGACCGGACGCGGCTGGAGGGGCGGGGCCAGACGGAGGCTGGGCCGAGGAAGGGGGTGGAGACAAGATTGGTCCCCGATTGCGCGCGTGGAGGTAACCACTGCCGGAGGCGGGGCTGGCGCTAGCCACTCACAGGACCCAGCGGGAATGCCGTTAGTTCACTGGCCAGGAGGGCGGGAAAAGCCGAGCTCGCGCCCCGCCTTCGAGAAGGAACCGAGGGCGGGAGGCTTTCTTCGGTCTGGGGGTAGTGAGGCTGTGTTCTCTTTGAGGGGTGTTAGGACAGATGGGGGAGAAGTTTCTTTAGATAGTGGCCGGCCAGGTCTCTCTCAGTTGAGGGATAAGATGATCCTCATTCCTTCCATTTGAGGGATGAGTGCTTCCTCATTTGGGGAAAACAGTGAGGGGGTCCCTTCAATTTTGAGCAAGAAGTGAGAATAGATTCCACTCAGTTTGAAGGAAGAGATGGGATCAGTTCCCTTTAGTTGTGGGAGGAAGAGGGAAGGATGCCCTTCAGTTTTCTGGGAAAAGATTGGGATGAGTCAGTTTGAGGGGGCAGATAGAACACGTTCCCTTCAGATTTGGAGAAAAAGTGGGATGGGTGCCCCTCAGCTTCAATGAAAAGTGAAGACAGTCCTCCTCTGGTGCGAGATGAGCCGAATGCCCCTCAGATTTGGAAAAGGCTGGGTGCATCCCGCCTAGTTTGAAGGGAATCAGTAGGCTGGGTTTACCGTAGGTTCCTGTCAGCTTCATGGGAGAAATGAGACAGTTCCCTGTAGTGTGATTGAAAGGGAGAGCCAGGTGCCTCTCGGTTTGGGAGATGAACAGCCTTCCTCTTCTCCTGGAATGAGCTGGGCCGGTCTGGGCCCTGGGGTTTCTGGGGACGTCGGGGGCAGCGTTGTCCATCACTGCTTTGGGGGAACGTACAGTGCGCGTGCGCAGCTCAGGTCCGGGTTGGGGCCGGCGGAGGGTCCCGGGCTTGGGAGCTCGGCGCCGACCGCGGTGGAGCACGGTCCCCTGCAGTCCGCACCCGGCCGCACCTGGGCCCCAGAAGAGGGCTGCTAGTCGCCCCGCAGCGCTGGCGGAGGAGGAGCCGTGCCCCTCCCGTCCTGACCGCGCCCCCCGGCGGACCATTGCCCTTCCAGCTGCGGGCTGCCCCGGGGAGTCGTGACCGCGCACCGTTCTGAATCCGGTGGCGGCGGTATTGGAGGAGCAGACTCGGAGGAGTAGGTTGTGGAAGTTGGGGGAGAGCTGCACTGGGGAATTTCCGGAGCTGGAACTGATTTAGGGAGGAAGGAGGAGGGGGTCCTAGACTACGGGCGTCCGGGGCAGGGTCTCCGAGCCCGGACCCGGCTTGGGGGCGTCGCAGCCGGGATTGGGGGGAGCGGGGCCCACGTGCCTGTGACGCGGGGGCGCCCGGTAGGTGGCGGCGGCGACGCGGGGCCGGCGGCCGTGCGGTGCCGGGAGGGCGGCTGGGCAGGAGACAGGATGCTGCGCGCCGCACTGTCCCTGCTCGCGCTGCCCCTGGCGGGGGCGGCCGAACAGCCCACCCAGAAGCCGGAGTCCCTGGGCGAGCCTCTCCCAGGCTTGGAGCTCTTCCGCTGGCAGTGGCACGAGGTCGAGGCGCCCTACCTGGTAGCCCTGTGGATCCTGGTGGCCAGCCTGGCCAAAATCGGTGAGTGCGTGTGTGCGTGCGCCAGGCCAACGGCCCGCGGCGGACCCGCCCCCAACACCCCCACCTCCTCAGTCCTTAGATTGGGGCTGGCTTCTTGCATAGTGCCGGGACTCAGGTTTGGATTCCACAAATCCGGGCTCTCGCCCAGTTCCTGCGTTGCCTCTTGTGGGTCCCTGGTCCCTGTCTTCTCCCGTGGGAGCACTGAGGATTTGCCTTTCTGAAGGGCTGTCCCCTGCTCTCCCCAACTCCATCTTTAGGCTCCTTTGCCCTCTCTGCTCCCCTCTTCCCCTTGCAGTAGGCCCTCCTCAGTCTGGTCTCTCCCCCACCAATCCTCGGCCTCCCAGAAACCTCTGTCGGCAGTGAGGACATGTGGGGACATCCCACGAACACAGGTATCCTGGTTCTAAAGAAGCAGCCTTCCCTGGAGACCACGTCCGAGTGTCCATTCCCTTGGGAAACTACACCACAGCCACTTCTCCTCTGCTCCCCACTTAAAGCTGCTGCCTTCTCGTGCCTGTGTGTGGGAACCCCCCACCCCTTCAGGTCCACATTCTTCCCACTTCAGGGTATAAGAAACTTCCATGTATGGGGGCTCCCTGTGTGCTGCCTACCCTAGAAGCTTTCATACATCCGACTTCTTCAGCCCTGACAGCATTGAAGGCTGTGCTTCAGACTTCTTTTTCCCGGAATAGAGCTGCTTTTCCTTGCCTCTGCTCCTTCCTCCTCCCTTCTGAGCAGCCAGTGGTCCCTCCTCCCACCAGAGACCCTCCCCCTTCTCCCTGTTGTGCAGGCTCTGCTGTGGGGGTGACTAATTATAGCTGAGCGTTGCTACTCTCTCCCAATGGATGCTGGCACAGCCTGTACTCCAATCTCACCAATACAGCCTTCATGGAGGAATCACCCAGAGCCTAGAATTTGTCCCCTGTTCTCTCACAGGGACATTGCTGGGGGGTGAGGGGGCTGGGCAGGAACAGAACTCTCCACTCTGCTGTGGCAGCCTGAGATTAATAATGGAAAGTGGGACTCCGGGGAGCCTGGTTCTGTGATGGGGCTTGGATCAAAGGGCTGGGGTTAATGCATAAAGAGATGCAGATGAAATACAATCCCTGAAGGAGAGGAGTGGGAGACCAAAGTAGGGACAAGTATGGAGAGATCTATGACCACGCTTACCTTAGAGGCCCAGCAGCAATGAGAGTAAGAGTGAAAGGAGCCTCAGATTTGGAGCCAACAATTGGGTTTGCTGAGAAGTCTGAGTTGCACAAGAGTTCCTGTCTTAGGGCTTATAGCAACAACTGCAGTTTTCCCCATAAATCATCTTTCTTTTTCTAGTTTGGATGACATCTCCTATGGAAGTAGAGAAGACAGCCTCCTTCTCACAAGCCAAAGAAACTCCTAAAAGTGGGGGGAAAGGCAGAACATTCAGGAACACCTTCCCTCAGCTTCATTGCTAGGAGACTTTTTCCCTTTTATTAAACAAATATTTACATTGAGCTCACTATGTGCCAGGCACTGTTCTAGGCCCTTTGGGTACAGCTTTCAAAGGGCACTGTCTTGGCATAGGGTCTCACACAGGCTAATTTAGAGGCCTCCTTCCCCAGCACACCAGGGATTGTGTAGAGAGAGAGGTGTTCACTTGTGGTCTGAGAACTTAAAGGAGAGCCAAAGAGTTTCTTTTAGAGGACAAAAGTATGAATGGCAATAGTGCTAGAAACCCTTTCTTCTCCCCTCCTAGAGACAGAACTGTTCTATTAACATTTGGTGAGAACCTACTACGTGTCTGACATTATGCTAGACATATTGCATACTTTATGTCATCTTATCCTCACCCTTGATGCTGGGTATTTTTCCTATATTACAAAAGAAGAAAATGAAATTCAAGTAAGTTAAATAATTTGCCTGAAAACACACAGAATGTGCTAAGGCCTGGAAGAAGACCTGGAGATCTCCTGACTGCTAAAACCAAAGTTTTACACAGTCCTGAGTGAGTCCATATAATGGAAAGCATACTGGGCTAGGAATACAAGCCTCCTAGGAGGTATAATATACATTCTGGTCTAGTTAAGGAGTGAGGACTTATAAATAGGTAAATTTATTGAGTGCTTACTGTAAAGTCGTGTGCTAAGTGCTTTTCAGTAGACTGTCTTTTTTTTTTTTTTTTTTTTTTTTTGAGACAGAGTCTTGCTCTGTCACCAGGCTGGAGTACAGTGGCGTGATCTTGCAACCTCTGTCTCCTGGGTTCAAGTGATTCTCCTGCCTCAGTCTCCCGAGTAGCTGGGACTACAGGTGTGCACCACCACTCCCAGCTAATTTTTGTATTTTTAGTAGAGAAGGGGTTTCACCATGTTGGCCAGGATGGTCTCTATCTTTTGACCTCATGATCTGCCTGCCTTGGCCTCCCAAAGTGCTGGTCACGCCACCTGGCCTTTTTTTTTTTTTTTTCTTAAGACAGAGTCTCACTCTGTTGCCCAGGCTGGAGTGCAGTGGCATGATCTTGGCTCACTGCAACCTCTACCTCCCAAATTTAAGTGATGCTCCTGCCTCAGCCTCCTGAGTAGCTGGGACTACAGGCACCCGCCACCACGCCCGGCTAATTTTTGTATTTTTAGTAGAGACAGGGTTTCGCCATGTTGACCAGGCTGATCTGGAACTCGTGACCTCAGGTGATCTGCCTACCTTGGCCTCCCAAAGTGTTGGGATTATAGGCATGAGCCACCATGCCCAGCCTATAGATTATCTTTTTTTTTTTTTTTTTTTTTTGAGACGGAGTTTCACTTATGTTACCCAGGCTGGAGTGCAATGGCGCGATCTCGGCTCACCGCAACCTCCGCCTCCTGGGTTCAGGCAATTCTCCTGCCTCAGCCTCCTGAGTAGCTGGGATTACAGGCACACGCCACCATGCCCAGCTAATTTTTTGTATTTTTAGTAGAGACGGGGTTTCACCATGTTGACCAGGATGGTCTCGATCTCTTGACCTCGTGATCCACCCGCCTCGGCCTCCCAAAGTGCTGGGATTACAGGCTTGAGCCACCGCACCCGGCCTAGATTATCTTTTTTAATGGTCCCAATAATCTTATGAGATCATTACTGTTTTTACTCCCATTTCGCTGATGAGAAAACTGAGAGTCAGAGAGGTGAAGTTATTTGCCCTAAGATTACAGAACTAGGCTTTGAATCCAAGCAGTCTGACTTCAAAGGCCCTGATTTTTACAGCTATTTTATATATAGAAAGATACTGGGTAGCATTTGCTGAGGTTCAAATAGTGGCTATGGATAAGGGAAGTCAGAGAAAGGTGAGGTTCCCTGAGGATGAAAGTAGAGAGGAAGGGACATTTCTAGAAGAGGAAGAGGAAAAAGCAGTAAAGACCTAGATTACCATGTTGTGACAGAAACACTAACAAACAGATGACTTTGACTGCAGAGGAGGGTTTGTAGCCCTGGAGACTGGAAATTCTAGAAGTCTTGCATATTTCTCCTCCCTTGGTCCCAGGGTCAGGAATCCTGACTTTGACTAACCTTCTAAGACTGGGAGGGTATACGCCTGGGTGTGGGAGGATATTCCATAAACTGATGCACCCTGCCCTCTTTTTGTATTGCAGTGTTTCACCTGTCTCGGAAAGTAACATCTCTGGTCCCTGAGAGCTGCCTGCTGATTTTGCTGGGCCTGGTGCTAGGGGGCATTGTTTTGGCTGTGGCCAAGAAAGCTGAGTACCAGCTGGAGCCGGGTACCTTCTTCCTCTTCCTGCTGCCTCCTATTGTGTTGGACTCGGGCTATTTCATGCCTAGCAGGCTGTTCTTTGACAACTTGGGTGCCATCCTCACCTATGCCGTGGTAGGCACACTCTGGAATGCCTTCACAACAGGTGCTGCCCTCTGGGGCTTGCAGCAGGCTGGACTTGTGGGTGAGTGACTCTAAGACCTGGGCTTTGCCAGACCCATTGCCCACCTCCCCTGTCCTCCAGCTCTAGAGGTCCATGCTGGTGTGAGCCTTGCTCTGAAAGCTCTGTCCTAGGTCCCTCCCACTGGAGTGCAAGGCAGTGCTCCCAGTGGGCTTCAGGCCTCCTCTAAGTCTCTGCCAGTCTGGGCTTCTGCAGCATAACAGCTGAGCAAGAGCCTGGCTCCTAGCTGTGTGTAGGCTGCCAAGGCTGGGGAGCCTGCGTTACCACTCTGTTGCCTCCTGCCCTCTGTTACCACACTGCCACTTGCCAGCCCTGCTCCCCTGAGGCACAGCTGTGCACCATTTCGGCAAGGGCCTACTGTCCTGGCTCTGCCCAGACCAGGTCAGGGTGGTTTTCTGTTTTGATTATTATTTTTTCTTAACTACATATTGTCTATAAGAAATTCATTATTTAAAAAATAAATACCTATTATAAATGCATCAAATGCTGGCACTACACTGGGTTTTCTCTTCTTACTTATCTCATTGACTCTTCATAGCAACACTTTTGGGGTATAGTTTTTCACATTTAATGTATAAGGAGATAGAACCCCTTTTTTTGTTTGCTGTCAGGTCCAAGGTTAGCAGAAGAGGACCATTTTATTGTTGTTTGTTTTTTTGAGATTGAGTCTCACTCTTGCTCAGGCTGGAGTGCAATGTCATGATTGCTTACTGCAACCTCCACCTCCTGGGTTCAAGCGATTCTCCTGCCTTAGCCTCCCAAGTAGCTGGGATTACCAGCATGTGCCCACTCATCCCACTAATTTTTGTATTTTCAGTAGAGACGGGGTATCACCATGTTGGCCAGGCTGGTCTTGAACTCCTGACCTCAGGTGATCTGCCCACCTCAGCCTCTCAAAGTGCTAGGATTAGAGGAATGAGCCACTGTGCCCGACCTCAGTTTTGTTTTACTGAGGCTCTTTGCCTTTAGGTTGCCCTCTCTTGTTACCTCATTCTTTATTTCCTAATCCAAGAAATTCATTCAACCCTGAAGGCTGATGATGCATACTTCTTCCAAGGTATTACAAGAAGATGTTTACAATTGCTATCTAGGACTCTCACCTGGTGTCCCTATTGATGTAGCGCACTATTTAGGACAGGAAGGGAAGGGAGTACATCAGGTCATAATAACAGTAGTAATCCTAATAGATAATAATATCTTTTGGGTGCTTACTGTGTGTTAGGCATTGGCTAAATAAGGAAATTTTCGAGGTAGATATTGTTATTAGTCTCAGCTTAGACATGGGGAAACTGGGGCTCATAGAATTTAAATGACATGTTCTAGTCCCACCTGAGGTGCTTTTCTTACTTTATTCAGTCCTCCACCCCTGCTGAGAACTGTGTTACATCCCTTTGGCTGGGAACCACAGGTATGGGAGAAAGCACTCTTTCATTATTCTCCCTAATAAAAATCCAGTTAGCAGCCAATTTCCATTTGCTAGTAGTTATTAGTACTGCTGCTACAGTGTTTTTTTCCCTAATTCTATTTTATTTATTTCTCTTTTTTGAGACTCTCACTCTGTCACCCAGGCTGGAGTGCAGTGGCACGATCTCAGCTCACTGCAACCTCTATCTCCCCAGTTCAAGCAATTCTCCTGCCTTAGCCTCCCAAGTAGCTGGGATTACAGGCACACACCACTGCACCCAGCTACTTTTTGTATTTTTAGTAGAGATGGGGTTTCACTATGTTGGCCGTGCTCATCTCGAACTCCTGACCTCAGGTGATCCAGCCCGCCTTGGCCTCCCAAAGTGCTGGGGCGCACCTGGCCTTTTGCTCTATTCTAAATGGCTGGGTTGAGTTTTGAAACAATCTTGTGAGGCAGGCAGATAAGGAGGCATGGCTAAGGTAGGTCATATCACAGTGACAGAACCAGCATCACACAGTTGGTAATTGGCAAAGCCAGGCCTTAGGCATAGGTAGCTTGACTGAAGTCTCCTGATCTGCAGGCCGATGCTGTCTTTGCCATCCCAAGTCCTCACTGGGCTTCCTCATTGAATCAGTGGGGGGTGGAGCCTGGGCTTGTTAAAGGGCATGCTGCAAGAGACTGGGTTGTCCTCAGTGACTGGACTGTCCTACACCTGTCGGTCAATAGCCCCTAGGGTGCAGGCTGGCTTATTGGACTTCCTGCTGTTTGGGAGCCTCATCTCGGCGGTGGACCCCGTGGCAGTGCTAGCTGTCTTTGAGGAGGTGCACGTCAATGAGACTCTCTTCATCATCGTCTTTGGCGAGTCCCTGCTCAACGATGCAGTCACCGTGGTGAGCATGCTCAGCTGGCTGCCATTCCCTGACCCCAGGCTGCATGTCTGACCAACTGGGGGTCTGCACAGACTCAGACCCGTCCCATGGGTCCCCTGGGGCAGATATATGCTGTCTGCTTTCACTGTCTCCCAGCAGTCCCAGTTGCTGCCTTCCCGCCTCGCTGCTGACTCTCCTCTTCTCACTCAGGTGCTGTACAAGGTCTGCAACTCCTTTGTGGAGATGGGCTCTGCCAACGTGCAGGCCACTGACTACCTGAAGGGAGTCGGTCAGTATTTCCCCGCTCCCAGCTGGCTTTGGAGGTCTGCCTTCCCTGGGTTGCTGAGGCCCTCCCACCCCATATCAGCACAGAGGAGGCTATTCGGGTTGCCTCATCTCCCCTCCTCTATAGAGAAAGGGGTCTGGGAGGGGCTTGCCAGGGATCCTGGCTCTGGGATTTTGAGCCCCTGGGAGTGTGGTGGGCATCATCCCTCACTCCCTGCCAGGGTAGGGTCCAGGCCGGGGGTCATGCTGACAACCCACTCCTCCCCCAGCCTCCCTGTTTGTGGTCAGTCTGGGCGGGGCAGCCGTGGGCTTAGTCTTTGCCTTCCTCCTGGCCCTGACCACACGCTTCACCAAGCGGGTCCGCATCATCGAGCCGCTGCTGGTCTTCCTCCTTGCCTATGCAGCCTACCTCACTGCTGAAATGGCCTCGCTCTCCGCCATTCTTGCGTGAGTTCTGGGGACCTTGCAGGCAGATAGCTGGGAGGGGGCACTGGAGTTGGTTTTCCCTCATAGGGACACAGGCAGGAACTTCAGGAGTCCTTAGGTTTCCCCGACCCTTTTTGGTAGTGGGAGCCTCAAACTCTCCTGGGGAGATAGTAAACCTCAGGTAATATTCCAGGAGCTGCCTCCAGAACTGTCCTCTGCCCCCAAAAACCCTCTGGGTGTAGGATGGGCCAGAAGTAAACTTTAAGGCCTGGGGCCACCAGCTCTGGAGGCCATAGCACTTCAGAAGCTGCATCAGAGAGCCTGCTAGTCAGAGCATGTTCCTCCCACCTTCCCCTCCAGGAGATATGGAGTAGGAAGCCTGGAGATCTGGACTCAAAGCCCAGCACTACCATTCAGTCTTCAGGCCTACCCGGGCTTCAGCTCTGAGAGTCTGACATCCTCTGATGGGCAATGCCTCCTCCTGCGGTATGCTCAAACCACAGAGGCTGAGCCCCCCTGGAACCCTTCCCCACTTTCCCTGTCTCTCTATCCTCTCCCAGGGTGACCATGTGTGGCCTGGGCTGTAAGAAGTATGTGGAGGCCAACATCTCCCATAAGTCACGCACGACTGTCAAATATACAATGAAGACTCTAGCCAGCTGTGCTGAGACTGTCATCTTCATGCTGCTTGGCATCTCAGCTGTGGACTCTTCTAAGTGGGCCTGGGATTCTGGGCTGGTGCTGGGCACCCTCATCTTCATCCTGTTCTTCCGAGCCCTCGGTATTGCTGACACCCTCTGCTTTCCCACTCTCCTTCCTGTCCCGCCCCTGCCTGCAGCTCATCTCCCCATCTGAGTCCGCATCCTTGTCAATTCCTAAGCCTCCTCTTGTTGCTCACCTGTCCCAGCCCCTGTTAGACCTCAGCCCAGATACTTGGTAATATCCACTCCTATGTCCTCCACTCCCAACGCTTTGCTCCCACTGGCCTCCCTCCCGCTGCAGGCGTAGTCCTGCAGACCTGGGTGCTGAATCAGTTCCGGCTAGTCCCTCTGGACAAGATTGACCAAGTGGTGATGTCTTATGGGGGCCTGCGGGGGGCTGTGGCCTTTGCTCTCGTCATCCTACTGGATAGGACCAAGGTCCCTGCCAAGGACTACTTTGTAGCCACCACTATTGTGGTGGTCTTCTTCACAGTCATCGTGCAGGTGGGAGTGCCCACAAGGCTGGGTAGGGAGAGGGTCGGGCAGGCCCTGGGGGAGTCTTGGAGCCTATGGGACAGGGGCTCCTCTTCCCACTGAGAGATGGAGGGCCCCGACTTCCCAGATTTTGAGTGCAGTGGGGTGGGGGTACCAAAGCTGAGGCCTCATTATGGGGAGAGAAAGGAATCAGGGAACTGAATAAGAATAGGGCAGGGCTCACTTCTTGCCTGTCCATAGGGCTTGACCATCAAGCCACTGGTCAAATGGCTGAAGGTGAAGAGGAGTGAGCATCATAAACCTACCCTGAACCAGGAGCTGCATGAGCACGTGGGTACCAGAACCCCAGCCCTCACCTGTCCCTCTCGACCATCTCCTATTTTGGGCAAAGTCCTGATCCAGTCCCCCTACCCACCCCCCCTTCTAGACTTTTGACCACATTCTGGCTGCAGTGGAGGACGTTGTGGGGCACCATGGCTACCACTACTGGAGGGACAGGTGAGGGAGCTGCCCCGAGGCTCCTTCAGCAGCAGCAGCTCCACCAGCCAGGGAAGCATGGGGGATGTGCCACACTTCTGAGAAGGGACAGAGCCAGGTTCAGGCTGGGTGACCTCTGCCTGAAGCCCTTCAGTGGCATCCCAGTGCTCTCAGGTTAAGACAAGGTTCCCCAGTGTGGCCTGCTTGGCCCTGCATGGTCTGGCAACTGCCAGATTCTAGCCTCATCACGCTCTGCTGTCTTTCACTGTCTGCCTGCGAATTCCATGGACCCTACCTTAGAGCCTGAGGACTCACGATGCTCCCCCAGCCTGGCTACTGGGACCCTCTCTCTACTAGAACACTTCCTCACCTCCCTCTCACTTACTCAGCTTCAATTCATCCTTCACAACTCACTGTAGGCTTCAATTCCTTAGGGAGGCCTTCCCTGGCCTCCCTGACTAGGACATATCTGTGTCATATTCTCCAATTATCCTTTGTAGTTCTTGTCATGGTTGTAATTTTATAGTGATTTGGAATAATTTCAATTACGGTTAGCCTTTCCCATGACACTATAAATTCCATGAGGGCAGAGACTAGCCTTGAGATTCTCCCTGGCTGAGGCCCACATCTAAAAAGCCAAGCCAGTACTGATGGTGTCCTTGCCCCATCTGAGGAAGGGCCCCATGGCCAGACCTTGGGAATGGGACTCAGGGCCGGGCCTGGCATCCTCTGTAGGTGGGAGCAGTTTGACAAGAAATACCTGAGTCAGCTGCTGATGCGACGGTCAGCCTACCGCATCCGGGACCAGATCTGGGATGTGTACTACAGACTCAACATCCGGGATGCCATCAGCTTTGTGGACCAGGTGGGCCGGTGGTGGGTGGGCAGGTGGGCAGCAGAGCAGGACAGAAAGGGGTGGCAAGTAGCCAGTCCTGAAGGGAGCTGGGAATTCCTGGCTGGCTCCATGGTCTGGTTAAGTGGCAGCTAGCTGCAGGAAGCAGCTGGGCCTGGTGCTGACATTCAGAGTCTGGCAGGCAGTCCAGAGAGGTGGGAAACAGCTGGATTCTGGAGTCAGCAGATGTGGCTCAACTGTTATCACTTCCAAATTTGTCACCTTGGGTAAGTCACACTCTCTGAGCCTGTTTCCTTAGCTGTAGGAAAGCAGGCATAAGAGGCTGGGCATGGTGGCTCATGCCTGTGATCTCAGCACTTTGGGAGCCCAAGGTGGGTGGATCACTTGAGGTCAGGAGTTTGAGACCAGCCTGGCCAATATGGTGAAACCCTGTCTTTACTGAAAATACAAAAACTAGCCAGGCGTGCTGGTGTATACCTGTAATCCCAGCTACTCTGGAGGCTGAGGCAGGAGAATCGCTTAAATCCACAAAGCAGAGGTTGCAGCGAGCTGAGATCATGCTACTGCACTCCAGCCTGGGCGACAGAGTGAGACTCTCAGATATAAAAAATAAATAAATAGGCCAGGCGTGGTGGCTCACACCTGTAATCCTAGCACTTTGGGAGGCCAAGGTGGGCAGATCACGAGGTCAGGAGATCAAGACAAACTGGGCCAACATGGTGAAACCCCATCTCTACTGAAAATACAAAAAAAAAAAAAAAAAAAAGCTGGGTATGGTGGTGCACACCTGTAGTCCCAGCTACTTGGGAGGCTGAGGCAGGAGAATTGCTTGAACCCAGGAGGCGGAGACTGCAGTCAGCCGAGATCTCTCCACTGCACTACAGCCTGGGCTGCAGTGCGAGACTCCATCTCTAAATAAATAAATAAAAATAGAAAGTAGGCATAAGAGTACCTATGCCACAGAATTTGTGGATTCAATATGTAAAGTGCCCAGCACAGTACCTGGCATGTCAAAAGAGTAAACTAAGTGTTCGTTATTATTATTTCCTGTATTGCCCCTGACTCCTGGGCCACCTTCCATCTGATTGCTGGCTAACCTTGGTCTTGACGCCTCTAGGGAGGCCACGTCTTGTCTTCCACAGGTCTCACTCTGCCCTCTATGCCCAGCCGCAATTCCATGGCAGAGACTTCTGTCACCAACCTGCTGTGAGTCCTTGAGCCCTTTCCCCTTCCTTATACTCATCTCCATTGGGCCCTCTCTCTGAATCCCTTCTGGGGGAGATTTGTCAGCACCTTTGTATCTGCCCTTCTTCTGGCCTATGCCATCTGCCCCCTCCCCAGCACGTGTCCCCTGTCTCCTGCAGGAGGGAGAGTGGCAGTGGAGCGTGTCTGGATCTGCAGGTGATTGACACGGTACGCAGCGGCCGGGATCGCGAGGATGCTGTGATGCATCATCTGCTCTGCGGAGGCCTCTACAAGCCACGCCGTAGGGTGAGAGCAGGCAGGCATCAGAATTTTGAGGGGGTGGAGGTGGTCTAGGGAGAGCTTAAGAGGCAATTGGCACCAGGTTGTTGGAGAGCTGCAGATGCCCAGCTAAAGAGTGTGGGTTTCAGCTGGGCGCAGTGGCTCACGCCTGTAATCCCAGCACTTTGGGAGGCCAAGGAGGGGGGAATTGCTTGAGGTCAGGAGTTTGAGATCAGCCTGGCCAACATGGTGAAAGTGAAACACCATAAAAAATTAGCTGGGTATGGTGGCACGCGCCTGTAATCCCAGCTACTTGGGAGGAGAATCGCTTGAATCCAGGAGGCAGAGGTTGCAGTGAGCTGAGGTCACACCACTGCACTTCAGCCTGGGTGACAGAGTGAGACTCCATGTCAAAAAAAAAAAAAGGGTGTGGGTTTCATCAGTAATAAAAAACCTCTCCTTTATTTTTATTTTTTGGAGAAAGGGTTGGCCTAATACAAGCACGTTTAAGAATACCTTCTCTGGTAGCAGAATGCAGATCAAATTGGAGGGGGTGAACTGAGAAGCTGGGAAAGCCAGTTGGGAAGCTGGAGTGAAATGTCATGGATTAGGGCTGGGTGGTGTGATTGGCCTTGATGGGGAGAGAAGACAGAGTACTGGGGGCCTTGAGGGTCACTGGAGAATGATGGGGTCACAGACAGAAGCAGGAGCACTGAGGAAGTCTCCTAGATCAGCTTAGCCTGTGGAAGGTGGGCATCTGTTTTAAAAAATGGAAGTTAGTCCAACGCAGATCATGAAGCTTTTCGGCTGGAAAGGCCAAGCCCATCCAGGAGAGAATCTGTTGCAACCCCACAAGAGGGCAGCAAGCCATTACCTTGCACCTTTCTAAAATGGGAAGCCAGACATCACCAGTTCTGGCAGTTTTAACAGTCAAAGCTCTTCCTACTGTGGAAACAGAATTGGCCTCCTTTAACTTGCACCCACTGGTCCTGATTTGACTCTTTGCAGCTCTGCAGAATAAATCTTCCAAGGTTTCAAGACAGTTCCATTTTACAGGCTCTCTTGCCTTCGGGCCAGCATCTCTTGCCTCCTGGTGTGTCTTCTCTGGACTTAAAAAACAGGACCCAGAATGGAAGTTGCTACTCTAGCTGTGGCTGGCCAGGGAAGGGCCTAGAAGCTCTCTCACCATTCTAGTTCTAGAACTTGCTATTTCTCTTCCCACAGCCCAAGATCCCTCCAGCCTTGGCTTACCACCCTGGGACCTCATATTGTCCTTAGAATCTGCTAAACTCCCAGGTTTGCCTCAGTTAATGGTTGTCAGAACCTGTCTCATCCCAACCTGTGGAGTTTTTAAAAAACCTTTTTCTTACTCAAAATTCCAGTAGAGAGAATAAAATAACTCATTTATCTATCAACCAGCTCTGAAAAATCAGTTCATGATTAATTCTATTACATTCTATAGCCCTACCACATCCCGCCCACACTTTATCTTAAAAAAAACTCCAGACATCCTATCACATCATCTCAAAATATTTCAGTATGTCTCTCTAAGTGGCAAGAACTCTTACATCCAGTCAGTATTCAATAAATATCTTTTTTCCAGCTGGATGCTCAAATCAGGATCCAAATTAAATCCATATTTAGCATTTGGGAAATATGTCTCTTCATTAAAAAAAAATTTATAATGGTTCTTTCTCCCCTCTTTATCTCCCTTGCTATTTATTTATTGAAGAAACTGGATACTTTGTCTGGAGAATTGCACATTTTCTAGATTTTGCTGACTGTATTCGAGTGGTGTTGTTTCATGTTCCTCCATTCCCTATATTTCCTGGTTGTCAAATCTAGAGGCCTGATCAGATTCAGGGACATTCAATAGGTATGCTATATATTTTCTGCGGTGTCACATCAGGAAATACATGATGATTTGGTTTGGAGTGTGTGTGTGTGTGTGTGTGTGTGTGTCTGTGTGGTGTATGTATAAGAATGGTCAGTGGGTTCAGTCCAATCAGTTTAGTCTGTTTTTTAAAAATCTGGAATAAGTTTGTGTATATCCTGTTAAATGTCATCTTATTTGCTTTAGCCCATCATTCCATTGTTTGGTTCCCATGTCTGCCACCAAATGTCTTCTTCTTAGATTCATATCATCTGAAAATTTGTTAAGCCTGTTAACTTTGTATTCATCCAAATCAACAAAAACATGTTGAACAGGATAGAGCTAAGGACAGAACCTTGTGGCATGCTACTAAAGACTTTCCTCCAGTCTTACATGGATCAAGCGTTTTCGGGGTATGGTAACTTAACCAGTTCTGAATCCACTTAGTATGATAACACAATCCACAATTTATCATGTTCTTCATAGAAATATCATTAGAGGGAGACAGAGAGATCTAGTATGCAGTTAGAAAGATAAGATTATAGTTTAATAGATAAGGGCTGGAGAGAGATTTGGAAGCAATCCATATCAGGTTTTGTCACCTGGCTACCACAGAATCCGCTGGGGAACTTCCTGGTTTAACCTAAAGATTCTGATTCTGCAGTTTGGAGTGGAACTAAGAATCTGTATTATTATTATTATTTTTTTTTTTTTTGAGATGGAGTTTCGCTCTTGTTGCCCAGGCTGGAGTGCAATGGCGCAATCTCTGCTCACTGCATCCTCCGTCTCACAGGTTCAAGTGATTCTTCTGCCTCAGCCTCCTGAGTAGCTGAGATTACAGGCATGCACCACTATGCCTGGCTAATTTTGTGTTTTTAGTAGAGACGGTTTCTCCTTGTTGGTCAGGCTGGTCTTGAACTCCTGACCTCAGGTGATCTGCCCGCCTCTGCCTCCCAAAGTGTTGGGATTACAGGTGTGAACCACTGAGCCCGACTGAATCTGTGTTCTTACTAAGTTGCCCAGGTGATTCAAATGCAGCTGGTCTGATGACTGATATTCAAGAACCACAGGTCTATATCACTGGGATAGCTGGGGCGGATAGAATGAGTAAGTTCTCTGGGGAGAGTGTTTCCTGGGGAGAGAGGAGGGCTAAAGATAACACTGAGGAATACACATGGGAGAAAAGGAAGGAGAGCCAAAGACAGGAACCCTTGGAGAAGCAGTGGCAGGTGGTCTCTCAGGCCTGGGGCAGAAAGAGGGCTAGATGCTGTGCAGAGGCAGAGCCCACCACACTGGTGACCAGCGAGAAGGCAGCATTGTGGAGTTGTGGACCCTGGGGTTGCATTTCTGGTATTTAAGGAAGTGGTGAGTAGGAGAGAAAGTGTCAGAATCAACTTATAAAAGTGTGGCAGCAAAAGGGAGACAATAGTGTTCATAGGGAGACATTCTTTAATGAGGTAAGGGCAGGAGCTTGAAAACTGAGGGGAAGCAGCCAAGTGGTGAGGGAAGGGGTGAAGATACAGGAGAGTGGAGAAATAGGAGGAAGCAGGAACTGCTGGAGGCAGGAAGTGGGGAACTGAACCATGTGGAGGCCAGGGTTGGGCAGCAATGAGCCTTGTGAAGGAGATGGACCCCTTCATCCCAGGAGAGAGGGTGCCTCCTGGTGCATAGGTAGAGGAGGAGGGCAGATGGAAGACTTGAAGGGGGCTCTTACAACTGATTCAGGGAAGCAGAAAATATGAGATAAAGGGACCAGACTTGGGATGTGAGGCAAAATAAGCTTATCTGGCAGGTGCTGGGCAGTATTTCAGTGGATTACCACTAGATGATGAAAAGGTGCTAAGCAGGGAGGGTAGAGGTAGAGGCAGTCTAGGTGAGTGTGTAGTGGGCTTGGTCTTTATGAGAGTTAAAAAGAGCATAGCCAGGTGCAGTGGCTCATGCCTGTAATCCCAGGACTTTGGGAGGCCAAGGTGGGCAGATCACCTGAGGTCAGGAGTTCAAGACGAGCTTGGCAATATGGTGAAACCCTATCTCTACTAAAAATACAAGAATTAGCTGGGTGTGGTGGCAGGTGCCTGTAATCCCAGCTACTCGGGAGACTGAGGCAGGAGAATTGTTTGAACCCCGGAGGCAGAGGTTGCAGTGAGCAGAGATTGTGCCACTGCATTCCAGCTTGGGTGACAACAGCAGAACTCTATCTCAAAAAAAAAAAAAAAAAAAAAAAAGAGCAGATGATAGGGGTGAGCCTAAATTATTGGGACTGAGAAGGTCCAGGGTGTCAGGGGAGATAGTTAACGAAAGTTCAAAATGCAGCACAGGATATCATGGTGGTGGTTGTAGAAATGGCTAGATGGGAGAATCCAGCTGGAGAAAGGATGCTGTGTAGCCAGAAAGGAGCAGGGAGGCTGGGCGTGTGGGCAAAGCTCAGATCAATGGAGGTAGAAAGAAGAAAATGTTCCCCATGTTGTCACAGTACTGGAACAAGACAGAGGGTCACCTTCAAATCAGAGAGAATCAGGAAAGGATGGCAAGGGATGGAGAAGGCCAGGTTTGGGGGAAGAAGTTCTGGGATAAAGGGAAGCTTCTCCCAGGGAATTGAGAACACAGAGTCTCTGGCTGGGTTCCTCTTGTATTTTGTTTTGTTTTGTTTTGTTTTTCAATCCATTGTTAATTCTGGAAAAGCTGGGCTGGCAGGACTTGTGTTGAATATGTTGGGGCTGTGGCCTGGGGTTCCTGTGGGAGGCCAAGGCATCTGGCCTTATAGCGAGGTGGGGCTGTCATTGCCAGTACAAAGCCAGCTGCAGTCGCCACTTCATCTCAGAGGATGCGCAGGAGCGGCAGGACAAGGAGGTCTTCCAGCAGAACATGAAGCGGCGGCTGGAGTCCTTTAAATCCACCAAGCACAACATCTGCTTCACCAAGAGCAAGCCACGACCCCGCAAGACTGGCCGCAGGAAGGCATGTCTTCTCTTAGGGACTCCTCTTTGGAGCTGGAGGCTGATAGCATGCAGTTTTGAGCTCCCAAGTGTTAGGATCCAGCTTAGGGGGACCCACAGTTGGATAGTCCTTAGGCACTTGATGACTGTAGCAGTTTGGGTTCCCTTTTAGATGTTCTTAGAGCCCCAGAGGGGAAAGGTGAGACCTTCAGAGGGGGAGCAGCCTCTTGGCCATGTGGTCACCTGCTGGGAGGCAGCAGGAGCTCCTACCAAAAATGAAAAAGACAGGAGAAAAGGAGATTGCTTTGAGGGGCAACTCCATGAGCCCCTAAGTCAGCCCAGGCTGATGCATCCAGATTTCTTTTTGGGGCATGGTTCACTCAGACTCTACAATTCTTGCCTGGTTGGCCAAGGGTTGTAGAACCAGTGGGACTGACACAAATTCCCTCCCCTGCTGGGTTAGGAAAACTTGTCCTCCTGTTGACCCCACTAAATGACAGGGTTGGGGTGGGGAGCTGGGGCCAGAGGCTCAGGTTTTCTTTCTTGGTCCTTAGAAGGATGGTGTGGCGAATGCTGAGGCTACAAATGGGAAACCTCGAGACCTGGGCTTTCAGGACACAGGCAAGCAGGGAGTAGGGTGGGATTGAGGATGGGAGGAAGGAGGGAAAGGGCTGGGGCTCACCAGCCAGAATCCTGGAGGACCTGCTCTAGGGTGCATTTTAAGCACCATGAGCTGGGGCTCTTCCCCCAGGGACTTGATTTCCAACTTGGAAATGTTCAAAGCAGTTATTAGACAATGAGTGACAGGAGGCATCTGATTGCTAACTAAGGGTTATAGGCCCCGAGGACTTGGAAAAGGTGTCATGGAGAAGGGGGAGTTTGGTCTGGGCCTTGGAGGATGGATGGACCCTGGGGCCCACTATACTGTCTGCAAAGCCAGTTCTGTTTTGTCTTTTTTGAGATGGAGTCTTACTCCGGTGTCCAGGCTGGAGTGCAGTGGTGCCATCTTGGCTCACTGCAACCTCTGCCTCCCAGGTTCAAACGATTCTCCTACTTCAGCCTCCCAAGTAGCTGGGATTACAGGCGCATGCCACCATGCCTGGCTAATTTTTTTGTGTTTTTGGTAGAGACAGGGTTTCACCTTGTTGGCCTGGCTGGTCTTGAATGCCTGACCTCAGGTAATCCACCTGCCTCAGCCTCCCAAAGTGTTGGGATTACAGGCATGAGCTACTGAACCTGGCTACAAAGCCAGTTTTGTATGATCTGAATGTTAATGGGACTTCCAGCAATCCAAGTGCTCATGTTTCCAGTGGATCATGGGATTTGGAGCTGAAAAAAAAGGATGGGGGAGATGGAAAGTGTGGTCCTCATGGCTTCCTCTACAGACTTAGCTTCCTCTGGTTGTCTCCTTGGGCTCTGCAGTGTCATTTCTCTTTCTCCCAAGTCACCACCTCCTAGGCCAGTGCTTGAAACAGCCAGAGGAGAAAGTAGGTGTCTCTGCCAATGTGTGTTCTGCCTAGGGGGACGGAGCTGGCTTGGGGCTGTGTAGTCCCAAGAGGCAGCTGCCAGCCCAGGCCACCTGACTTTGCTCGTCTCTGTCCAGCTGCTGTGATATTAACCGTGGAGTCTGAGGAGGAGGAGGAGGACAGCGACAGTTCAGAGACAGAGAAGGAAGACGATGAGGGCATCATCTTTGTGGCTCGGGCCACCAGTGAGGTTCTCCAAGAGGGCAAGGTCTCAGGTAATGCCTTCCTCCCTGTCCCCCTTCCCTCTGGAGCAAGCTGATTTCCTTTCTCTTCACTCATGGCCTCTACTCCAGACAACTCCCTTTTTCTATTCACCAGTTTATGCACCAGCCAGCATTTGCAGAGCATCTTCTTCATATCAGATGCCTGACATAAATGATACTCAACCCTCACAACAACCAGGATGGGGAAATTGAGCTCATACAGTCTCAGGGACTCATGACTTGTCAAGCATCACATAGTAGAACCAGAATTTGAACCTGACCCATCTGACTCCAAAGCCCACAGCCTTTTAAAATATTTTATTCTATTTTATTTTAGACAGAGTTTTGTTCTTGTCGCCCAGGCTGGAGTGCAGTGGCGTGATCTTGGCTCACTGCAGCCTCTGCCTCCCGGGTTCAAGCAATTCTGCCTTAGTCTCCCAAGTAGCTGGGATTTCAGATGTGCACCATCACACCTGGTCTCGAACTCCTGACCCCAGGTGATCCATCCACCTTGGCCTCCCAAAGTGCTGGGATTACAGGCGTGAGCCACCACACTCAACATTTTCTTTTTTTTCTTTTCTTTGATGCCATTCTTGCATTACTAGAATTTTTTTTTTTTTTTTTAGAGACAGGATCTCACTCTGTCACCCAGGCTGGATCACGAATTGCATGATGACATGATCATGGCTCACTGCAGCCTTGATCTCTAGGACTCAAGTGATCCTCCCAGCTCAGCTTCCCTAGTAGCAGGGACTACAGGTGTGTACTAGCACACCCAGCTGATTTTTTTTTTCTTTTTTTTTACGATGGAGTTTCACCCTTGTTGCCCAGGCTGGAGTGCAATGGTATCTCAGTTCACTGTAACCTCTGCCTCCTGGGTTCAAGTGATTCTCCTTATTCAGCCTCCGGAGTAGCAGGGATTACAGGATGCACCACCACCATGCCCAGCTAATTTTGTATTTTTAGTAGAGACAGGGTTTCTCCATGTTGGTCAGGCTGGTCTCGAACTCCCAACCTCAGGTGATCTGCCCACCTTGGCCTCCCAAAGTGCGGGGATTACAGGCGTGAGCCACTGCACCCAGGGCTTTTTTTCTTTGTTTTTATTTTTGTTTTTTTTGAGACAGAGTTTTCCTCTTTTTGCCCAGGCTGGAGTGCAGTGGTGCAATCTCAGCTCACTGCAACCTCTGCCTCCTGGGTTCAAATGATTCTCCTGCCTCAGCCTCCCAAGTAGCTGGGATTACAGGTGCCTGCTACAATGCCTGGCTAATTTTTTGTATTTTTAGTAGAGACAGAGTTTCACTGTGTTAATCAGGCTGGTCTTTTTTTTTTTTTTTTTTTTTTGAGATGCAGTCTTGCTGTGTCACCAGTCTGGAGTGCAGTGGTGGGATCTCAGCTCACTGCAACCTCTGCCTCCCGGGTTCAAACAATTCTCTTGCCTCAGCCTCCCTAGTAGCTGGAACTACAGGCATGCACCACCATGGCCAGCTAATTTTTTTATTTTTAGTAGCAACAGGGTTTCATCATGTTGGCCAGGATGGTCTTAATCTCCTGACCTCATGATCTACCTGCCTCGACCTCTCAAAGTCCTGGGATTACAGGTGTCAGCCACTGCATTCAGCCTATTCAGGCTGGTCTTGAACTCCTGACCTCAGGTGATCTACCCGAGTTGGCCTCCCAAAGTGCTGGGATTATAGGCGTAAGCCACCTCGCCCAGCCCACCTAGCTGATTTTTAAAATTTTTGTGGAAATGAGGTTTTGCTTTGTTACCCAGGAGGGCCTCAAACTCCTGAACTCAAGCAATCTTCCCACCTTGGTCTCCCAAAATGCTGGGATTACAGGTGTGACTCACCGTGCCACCCACACCTTTTCAAGGCCATGCTGCCTCCCTTTATAGTCTAGTGAGGAACAGGAGGTAGTGAGCAAACCATAGGCTCTGTTGAGACCTATGCCCTCAAGTAGAGCCTCAGATGAAGGTGGCAGCCTGACCTGGAGGAGGAGACTGAAGTCATCAAAATGGAATTACTGTGGATAAAAATACAGTATATAAGCATTTCCATGTATGTACAGAGAACTAATTCACTCATAATGTCATTATCACTGGTAGCTGGGACCCTCAAATGTTTTTGCAAATTTTTTATTATAGGAAATTTCTTTCTTTCTTTCTTTCTTTTTTTTTTTTTTTTGCTGGTAGCTGGTATGTAGCTAAGGAAATTTCAAAATATACAATGATAAAACTATAAAATAAACTCCTATCTATCCATTGTCCAGCTTCAAAAATTACCTACTCATAGCCAATCTTATTTCACCTAAACCTCACCTATGCTCCTCCCTCCACTGGGTTCTTCTGATGCAAGTCTAAAATGTCATATCACTTTATCAATAAATACTTCAGTACATATCTCTAAAAGATAAGGATTCTTTTATTTTTTTTTTCTTTTGAGATGGTCTCTCTCTGTTGCCCAGGCTGGAGTGCAGTAGTGCGATCATAGCTCACTGCAGCCTTGAACACCCAAGCTCAAGCAATCCTTTTGCCTCAGCCTCCAGAGTAGCTGGGACTTCAGGCACATACCATCATGCTCAGCTATCTTTTTTTTTTCTAGTAGAGATGAGGTCTTGTTATGTTGCCCAGGCTAGTCTTAAACTCTCGCGCACAAGTGATCTTCAGCCTCCCAAACTGATGAGTCACACCCAGCCAGATAAGGAATTTTCTTTTTTTTTTCTGAGTTAGGATCTCTCTTTGACACCCAGGTGGGAGTGCAGTGGTGGGATCATGACTCAGTACATCCTCAACCTCCTGGGCTCAAGCCACTGCACCCAGCCTCAGATAAGAATTCTTGATTCCTGCCTATAGTCATTTGAGCCCAGGAGGCTGAGGCTGCAGTGAGCTATGATCACGCCACTACATTCCAGCCTGGGCAAGAGAACAAGACTCTGTCCCTTAAAAAAAAAAAAAAAGATTCTTTAAAATATATATATAACCACAATGCCATTACCATGTCTAAAATCTGTCATCAAATATTAAATCATTGCTCAAATTTCCCTGATTGTCTTCATATATATATATATATATATATATATATTTTACAGTAGGTTTGTTCAATGTCCCTTTTAACCTATAGCAGTGATTCTCAAGGGGGATGGTGGTGGAGTGATTTTGCTTCCCCAGGGGACACTTGGCACTGCACAGAGACATTTTTGGTTGTCAGGGAAGATGCCCTTGTATTGAGTAGGTAGACGCCAGGGATACTGCTAAACATCCTACAATGCACAGGATAACCCCCCACAGCAAAGAGTAGCTGTCCCAAAATGTCAAGTGTCAAGTTTGATAAACCCTGATCTATAGGTTTCTCCCAAACCTCCTATTTTTTTTCTCTTCACAATGTATTTATTGAAGAAACTCACTTATTTGTCCTGCAGTCCTTCTCTGTCTGGATTTTGTTGATTGCATCCCCAAAGTGTCATTTAATATGTTGCTCTGTCTCTTAAATTTCCTTTAAACCAGTAAATCTATAGGCAGTTGCTCATGCCTGTAATCCCAGCACTTTGGGAGGCTGAGGTGGGCAGATTACCTGAGGTCAGGAGTTTGAGACCAGCCTGGTCAACATGGCGAAACCCCGTCTCTACTAAAGATATTTAAAAAAAAAAAAAAATTAGCTGGGCATGGTGGTGGGCGGGTTCCTGTATCCCACCTACTCTGGAGACTGAGGCGGGAGAATAGCTTGAACCTGCAAGATGGAGGTTGCAGTGAGCTGAGATCACACCACTGCAGCCTGGGTGACAGAGCAAGACTCTGTCTCAAACAAAGAAACAAAACAAAAAAACAAAAAATATCCACCTCATCAATTATTTGGTTACTTTGAGGTACAGTTCACACAGGAAATGCTTGATTCTTTAATTTATCAGTTTTCAGACCAAAGAGTTAGTTCCCTAGCAGCCTCTAAAGGTGAATAGCAAAGGTTTTTTTTGTTTTACACTTTTTGTTGTTGTTATCACATTTTAATATTCTAGGTCTTTCAAGAGATACCATTTTACTTAATCATAGCATCAATACATTTCACACATGTGTTCAAGTAAGAAGCTTATTGGGCTGCTCAGGACTTTATCAATGAACAGATACATGCTGTGCTTGACGTTGAAGAGCTGAGGTGGTTGGTGGCCACAGGGATTCTCTTTCCAGGTTTCCTCCTTCAGAACCTCAGACTTCCTGTAATTCAGCCCTGCCCCTGCAGTTCTGGGATTCTTTTTTTTTTTTTTTTTTTTTTTAAGATGGGGTTTCACCATGTTGGTCAGGCTGGTCTTGAACTCCCGACCTCAGGTGATCTGCCTGCCTTGGCCTCCAAAGTGCTTGGATTACAGGCATGAGCCACCACACCCGGCCAGTTCTGGGATTCTTAAGTCCCCTATGCCGCGTCATCCCTTTGCGGCAAAGCTCTGGCCTGCTGTTAGGTTTGCATAAGCTCACATTCCTGGGCTCTGTTCCACCAAAGGGCTGTGGTGGGTACTCAGGCAGGATGCCCAGCAGAAAAACCTTTGACCTGCAACCTCCATGTCTTTCTTACCCTCCCTGGCAGCTGGTGTTTCTCTCTCACTGGCTAGATGGAATGGGGCTTTGTCAGGAAGCTGTTTCAGAGACCCGTGCTGCAAGTAGGGTGAGGGGACTGGAGATGGGGCTTCCTTCCTGCCTGGCTCCTGCTTTCGCTATCTTCTTTTTATTTTTATTGTATTTATTTATTTTTTATATAAAGTCTCACTCTTACCCAGGCTGGAGTGCAACCTCCGCCTCCTAGGTTCAAGCGATTCTCCTGCCTCAGCCTCCCAAGTAGCTAGGATTACAGCTGTGCACCACCACGACTGACTTAATTTTTGTATTTTTAGTAGAGATGGGGTCTCACCATGTTGGCCAGGCTGGTCTCTAACTCCTGAGCTCAGGTAATCCACTGCCTTGGTCTCCCAAAGTGCTTGGATTACATGTGTGAGCCACTGCGCCTGGCCAACTTTCCTTATTTTCATTTGTTAGATAGGTATTTCTCGAGCAACTACTGTGTGCCCGGCCCTGTGCTAGGTGCTGGGGATACAGTGGAGAGCAAAACCAGCTGTGGTACTTCCCCTCAGCAAGACATTCATCAGATAATCGCACAAATGGATGGCATATGAAAACTGTCACATGAATTTATGAGAATGTGCTTATACTTGAGTTTTCCACTGTACTGGTAATGAGTTCATGTACACTCTTTGTCCCCAGGAAGCCTTGAAGTGTGCCCGAGCCCACGAATCATTCCCCCCTCCCCAACCTGTGCAGAGAAGGAGCTCCCCTGGAAGAGTGGGCAAGGGGACCTGGCTGTGTACGTGTCCTCGGAAACCACCAAGATTGTGCCTGTGGACATGCAGACAGGCTGGAACCAGAGCATGTCATCCCTGGAGAGCCTAGCATCTCCTCCCTGTAACCAGGCCCCAACTCTGACCTGCCTGCCTCCCCATCCACGGGGCGCTGAAGAGCCCCAGGCCCCTCTCTACCCGCCTTCTGATCCACACCCTAGCTTTGCCTTCCCCCCGAGCCTGGCCAAGGCTGGCCGCTCTCACAGTGAGAGCAGTGCTGACCTCCCCCAGCAGCAGGAGCTGCAGCCTCTTATGGGCCACAAGGACCATACCCATCTCAGCCCAGGCACTAACTCCCACTGGTGTATCCAGTTCAACAGAGGCAGCCGGCTGTAGCCCAGGGTCTTGGGGAGGAGTAGGAGGTGGAATCCCTGTGGGAAATGCTCCCTGGGCGATGGGAAGAATCCTTGCAACTTGACATGAGGCCAGAGGGGTCTGGGCTGAAGTAGCAATTGGGCTTCCTTGGGGCTGGTCATAGGGGTCACCTGAGCTGGTCCTCACAGGGCCCTTTCTCACCACCTCCCTGCTCCTAATCCCTGCCACCTTCCATTTCAGTAAGGCCTCTACTCTGGCTCCAGATCCAGTCCAGGCCTCCTAGGGGCTAGGCCCAGAGACTTGGGTTGCTGGTCCCCCTTCCCTAGTGGGTTTTCCCGGAGACTTTATAGGCAGCTGCTCCTGCCCCGAAAGCTAGGGCATCATTCCTCAGTGAATGCCAGCTTTCCCTGTCCCCATTCCCTCCCCAGCACTGGGTCAGTGGTGCCCTGACAGTGAGGCTTCGTGAGGGGCTGGCCCTCAGAGGAACTGGAGTGGGAAGTGAGGCAGGCCTCAACCTTGGGCTTTGCTGCCCTGCTGGGTCAGCTACCCATAGTCCATTTTTTTTAGGGCAGTGGGAACCTCTGCTTCCAATTCCTGCTTTAGCCCCTTCCCTTTGCTGTCAGGTATTGGGGTAATAGTTCCTCCTTTTCTAAGACCAAGACTAGGGGGCCGGGCCACACTTCAGTTCAAGACCGCTGCTGAGCTGGGGTCATTCTGGGATCTGCTGCTCTAGGTCCAAGTCTGGACCTTTCTGATCCTTGGGTCTGGGTTTTTTGAGGAGGGGACATAGTGGCCTCTGGGCTGTCATCTTACCACCTGAACATTCCCCAGAAAAGGAACCCAGTATCTCAGGGCCACTGCTCCATTGCTCTGGGGGCTGGGACGCCTGACTAAGCTGGGACGCCTGGCTAAGCAGGGGCTGACTGGGTGGCAGGTGATTTTCCAGGGGTTAGCACCTGCCTTGTGTTTTGTACCTTGACCCTAAGATACATTAAACATCTCTCAGATGGATGAGTGTCTTCTGTCCATGTATCAGGCGGTTCTTAGGGTGGGGGACAACAGGGGCATCTGGTGAAGGAGATGAAAACCCAACTGCCTGCCCCAAGGATTGAGAATGGAGGGGAATCCTAGGCAGAACTGTTCATCCTCTGGTCCCCTGTCATGCATCCCCCATACCTTTCCAATATTGTCCTCTTAGCAGGGGACCTGCAGTGGTGGTCAAGAGGATCACTATTTTGGCATGGAATCACAGAACTAGAAGTCTACAAAATGAGAAAGCCTAGCAGGGAAAGACCCCAGAGGTCAGGTGCCAAGCTGCCCTGATGCAGCCATCACACACCTAGAACCAGATAAGCATTTCTTGAAAACCTGGACTCAGGTATAGGACACATGAACAGAAGTAGCCTTTTGCACATGACAGGTGGGAGGGCAATCTCAAGGGCTCAAGGGGTTTGGTTACCTGGAGTGTTTAATTATTTTTGGAGACAAGATTTTGTTCTATCACCCAGACTGGAGTGCAGTGGCCAATCATAGATTACTGCATCCCTGGACTCAAGGAATATTCTTGATGCAGTCTCCCAAGTAGCTAGGACTACAGGTGTGTACCACCATGCCTGGCTAATTTTTTAACTTTTGTTTTTACTATATTTATTTATTTTTAGAAACAGGATCTCATTCTGTCACCCAGGCTAGAGTGCAGTGGCATGATCTCAGCTCACTGCAACCTCTGTCTCCTGGGTTCAAGCGATTGTCATGCCTCAGTCTCCTGAGTAGCTGGGACTAAAGGCACATGCCACCATGCCTGGCTAATTTTTTGTATTTTCAGTAGAGACGGGATTTCACCATGTTGGCCAGGCTGGTCTCAAACTCCTGACCTCAAGTGATCTGCCTGCCTCAGCTTCCCAAAGTGCTGGGATTACAGATGTGAGCCACCACACCTGGCATATATTTTTTTTTTTCTAGAAATAGGGTCTCACTATGTTGCTCAGGCTGTTCTTGAACTCCTGACCTCAAACAATCCTCCTGCTTTGGCCTCCTCAAGTGTTGGAATTACAGGTGTGAGCCACCTCACCTGGCCATGAGTGTTTATGATGTAAATCAGATAGTGTGGGGTCCAGAAACAGTAATTGAAATCCCTAGATAACAGTAGTCCCCAAGTCCAATTCCCCTGGTGTCTGAAGGACTTAAAAAAAAATTGGGCTGGGCACAGTGGCTCTCACCTATAATCCCAGCACTTTGGGAGGCTGGAGGCGGGCAGATCATGAAGTCAGGAGATTGAGACCATCCTGGCCAACATGGTGAAACTCCATCTCTACTAAAAATACAAAAAAAAAAAAAAAAAAAAAAAATTAGCTGGGCGTGGTGGCGCGCACCCATAATCCCAGCTACTTGGGAGGCTGAGGCAGAAGAATCACTTGAACCTGAGAGTTGGAGGTTGCAGTGAGCTGAGATCACACCATTGCACTCTAGCCTGGGCAACAAGAGTAAAATTCTGTCTAAAAAAAAAAAAAAAAAGAAAAGAAATTTGGCACAAGGATGTGGATTATGCCTGTAATCCCAGCACTGTGGGAGGCCAAGGTGGGCAGATCACTTAAGGTCAGGAGTACAAGACCAGCCTTGCCAACATGTGGTCTTGTACTACTAAAAATAACAAATCTCTACTAAAAATAACAAAAATTAGCCGGGCATGGTGACACTCGCCTGTAATCCCAGCTACTCGGGTGGCTGAGGCAGGAGAATGGCTGGAACCTGGGAGGTGGAGGTTGTAGTGAGCTGAGATCATGCCACTGCACTCCAGCCTGGGAAGCAGAGAGAGAGAAACTCCATCCCCCCCCCAAAAAAAAAAAATATTTCAGAGCTGAGCACAGTGGCTCATACCTGTAATCCCAGCAGTTTTAGAGGCCAAGGCAGGTGGTTCGATTGAGGCCAGGGGTTCAAGACTAGCCTGGGCAATATAGCAAGACCCTGTCTCTATCAAAAATCAAAAATATTAGCTGGGTATGGTAATGCACGGCTTTAGTCCCAGCTACTCAGGAGGCTGAGGCCTAAGAATTGCTTGAACCCAGGAGGCAGAGGCTGCAGTGAGCCGAGATCACACCACTGCACTCTAGCCTGGGTGAAAGAACAAGACTCCATCTCAAAAAAAAAATTAAATTAAAAAATATTTATATATTTGAGATATAAGTCACATACTATAAAAATTCACCCATTTAAAGTGCACAGTTCTGTGTTTTTAATACACCTACAGGGTTGTGCAGCCCTTACCACAATCTAAGTTTAGAACATTTTTATCATCCCCCCCAAAAAAACCCTGTACTCATTAGCAGTCAGTTCTCATCCCTGGCCCTCCTCAGCCCTAGGTAATAGCTAACCTACTTTCTAGCTCTCTGGATCTGAAGGACTTTTGACACACTTGGAAGGTTATACGTTTAGCCAACTTACCTTTACTTTTTCTGCGTTATGCGAAGGTAAGGTGCGATAAGAAGGAAGAGTGACTTGGGCTTTGCCCTCAGGTTGTTTATGGTCCACAGTGATAAGGCCTAGTAGTCAACCAGTAGTGAACAGCTTATTTATTTTTACTTTTTTTGAGACAGAGTCTCATTCTGTCACTCAGGCTGGAGTGCAATGGCATGATCTTAGCTCACTGCAACCTCTGCCTCCTGGGTTCAAGCAATTCTCCTGCTTCAGCCTCCCAAGTAGCTGAGATTACAGGCACCCGCCCCCATGCCCGGATAATTTTTTTTTTTTTTTTTTGAGACTGAGTTTTGCTCGTTACCCAGGCTGGAGTGCAATGGCGCGATCTCGGCTCACCGAAACCTCTGCCTCCTGGGTTCAAGCAATTCTCCTGCCTCAGCCTCCCAAGTAGCTGGGACTACAGGCGTGCGCCACCATGCCCAGCTATTTTTTTTGTATTTGTAGTAGAGATGGGGTTTCACCATGTTGACCAGGATGGTCTTGATCCTCGACCTCGTGATCCACCCACCTTGGCCTCCCAAAGTGCTGGGATTATAGGTGTAAGCCACCACGCCTGGACTCAATTTTTTATATTTTTAAGTAGAGATGGAGGTTTTGCCATGTTGGCCAGGCTGGTCTCGAACTTCGGACCTCAGGCGATCTACCTCTCTGTCTCCCAAAGCACTGGGACTACAGGCATGAGCCACCATGCCCGGCCGTAGTCAACACTTTAGAGTCAACAGCCTCAGCTGTCACTTACCAGTGTCATTCTGGGTGTGTTACATGCTCTTTCTGAGCCTCAGTGTCCTCATCTTTCAAATGAGATAATCATATTCACTTCGTAAGGCTGCTGTCAAGATTAAATGATAAAATTTAATGGGAAGAATCTACACAGGGCCTGGCTCAAGGTAAGGGATCATAAATGTCATCTGTCAGGCCGGGCACAGTGGCTCATGCCTGTAATCCCAGCACTTTGGGAGGCTGAGGCAGATGGATCCCTTGAGGTCAGGAGCTTGAGATCAGCCTGGCCAACATGCTGAAATACCATCTCTATTAAAAATACAAAAATTAGCTAGGCATGGTGGTGCACGCCTATAATCGCAGGTGCTTGGGAGACTGAGGCAGGAGAATCACTTGAACCCAGGAGGTGGAGGTTGCAGTGTGGGGGTAGATAAGCATGGTGGGTTTGACGGGGAGGCAGGCAGGTGTCTTGGACACAGGAGAGGAAGTACATCAAGCACTCATCCATGGGTCCTTGCCGTGTGGCTGGGCAGGATGGCCTGAGCTGAGAGAACTTGGCTAGGGAAGGCTCCATGAAGGAGGTGCTGCGCCCAGGTCTCAAAGGAGGAAGGATTTTGATTAGGGGAGTTGGGCATGGGCCTTCAGGAAGAGAAGCCAGTGTGAGACTAGAGTAGTAATCAGATTTTCCAGGCCAGTTTGGGAGGTAGATGGGAAGGCTGTGATGCCTGTAAATGGCCTTGAATGCCATACCAAGGAGTTTGGAGTTTATTTAGGCCAAAGGCAAGAGAGATCTGGAAGTTCTGGGGTATTTGTTGCCCTCAGTATTTGGGGTCACACTGAAGAGGGATGTGTAAGGTGAATGACTGTGGGTCTGTTGTCACTAGGCCCACTGAGGCCCACAACCCTCCCCCCATTTTTATTTATTTATTTATTTTTGAGACAAGAGTCTCATTCTGTAGCTTAGGCTGGAGTGCAGTGGCATGATCTCAGCTCACTGCAACCTCCGCCTCCTGGGTTCATGCAATTCTCTTGCTTCAGCCTCCTGAGTAGCTGGGATTACAGGCGTGTGCCACCACATCTGGCTAATTTTTGTATTTTTAGTAGAAACGGGGTTTTGCCATGTTGGCCAAGCTAGTCTGGAACTCCCAACCTCAGGTAATCTGCCCTCCTTGGCCTTCCAAAGTGCTGGGATTTTGTGGCATGAACCACTGTGCTCGGCCCATTTTATTTTTGATTGAGTCATGTTGGCAAGAAATGGGAGGCTGAGGGAGAGTTGGGGAAGGGTCAGGGGAGGGAGGCCCATTCTCATTTTATGATCTCAGTGGAAAAGGCTGCTGTGAGTTGATTCTGCTGCCAGGAGAGCCACAGAGACGGGCTCCATGAATCACTGCTCAGTCCTGCAATCTCAGCCCACAAAGCCTTCTGTGGTCAGCCACCCCAGCCTGGCTGCAGGCCCAGCTCCCCAATATTCCCCACTAGGCCTCAGTGTATCCCCATTTCTATCTGTACTTTTGCCATCCTGGGCCATGCATCCTGTAGCCCTCTGCCTCTTCTGTCTCCTTTTGGGCTGAGTCTCTGAATCTGTCTCCATTTGTGACTCTGGTTTCCATCTGATACATAGATGTGGAGCCTCAGGAGGGCAGGGGTAGTGTGACCAGTGTCAGATACCCCAAAGCATTTATTCTGTGCCAGGCCCTGTGCTGGATGCTGGAAGTACAGAAGTGGATAACACGCAGTCTCTGTTTCCATGAAGCTTACAATGCACATTCTCTGTGGAGTGGAGAAACCAGGGCCTAGCCCTGCCTCTATCTCAGTGTGACTGTACCTCCCCTGAATCTGCCAGCTGTGCTCAGGGTGCCAGGATCAGCTGTAGCCTGTGGCTTGAGGTTCTTGTTTGCCTCTGCCTTTCACAAGGGTATGTGTGTCTGTCAGCAGGCCCTCCCCCCGGGGCTCTTAGGGCTCCTGGGGGGCCTGGCTGGTGGGTGCCAGTGGGCAGAAGGGGAGGGAAGGAGCAGAAGGCAGTGACTCAGTGGGGGTGGCCCTGGGACAGAGCTGGGGAGGGAGCCAAGGTTGGATGATGCTTCCTGAAGCCAGGAGGGTGGGAAGAGAGGTCTGGCTGGGAGTTAGGGATGGAGCAGGACAACTTCAAGGCTCTCCTCTGGCAGCCTGACCTGCTCATGAAGAAGGCTCCTCGGTAGCTGCCTGAAAGTCTGGACTCTGCGCGGTGGGCTGGGCTGGGGGAGATTGCTGTTGGTCCCAATTTGCCTGCTGTAATGCCCAGGTTCAAGAAAGAGGGCTTAGAACCAGGGAAGCCATTACATCTGGTACCCAGTCTCCTCAGGGGCCATGGCCTGGGCACACTCTGGGGCTCAGGGCCTTCTGGTCACAGAGCTGACCTTCCCACAATCTTCCCACAAATTCTGGGGAGCGTCAGGCCAAGCCCACATGCCCCAAAGGGACCTCAAATCGCACAGCTACCCAAGTGACTTACATCAGTTCAGGATCCCCTGACTGGGGGTGAAATGGGGGACAGGGCACCAACACAGCCTGAAAGCTGGCAGTGAGTGGGTGGACGTATAACACAGGGGGCCTTCCCTAGTCCGCATGGTAACCCCAGGAGAAAAATGACTTTTCATTTTTACAGGTGAGGAGGGTGAGGCTCAAAGAGCAGAGTTCCTGGAGCGCCCCCAGCAGGTAAGTGGAGAATCCAGGCCTGGGCTGGGGACTCTGGCTCCAGGACCCCACCTCAGCGCCGGTCTCCTGGACTGGTCATTGTGGAGAGGGCGGTAAGGAGGTGCCAGGGATGGCAAAGCAGGGGAGGGTCTGGCGGACTCTCGCAGGCCTTGGTCAGCTCCACCCATTGGTCTCACTCCCACCCCGACGGCAGCCCCATCCTGCGTGGGATCAAGCGACCTGTCTCTGGGTGCCCAAGCTAAGGCAGCGCCCCGCTTCCCTACACAGAAGGCGTTTCCCTCTCCTCGGCTCATTCAGCCGGCTGAAGCCTCTGGGAGCCCCCGCCCCGACCCGCCCCGCCTCGCCCCGCGGCGACCCCCGCGCACTCACCTGCACGCACCCCCGCGGCCTTCCCGGTGGGACAGCGCTTCCAGCGTCCTCGCCAGGCCGGGGGAGTGGGCACCGTGGAGCTGCCGGCCGTTGGTCGCTGCCCCAACCCGCGCACAGCGACGCCGTGGGTGGGGCACGCGGTCTGCGGGGCCCAGGGTTGCGCCGGGGCGGGGCTGGAGGCCGTCCTGGCCCGTGGGGAGGACCGCGGCGGGTGGGGGTTGCTGCGGGGCCCGCACCTCGGCTACACACTGCTCGGCTGGCTGTGCCCCGTCGGGACCTGCGCAGGCTGTGGCTCCATCCTCCGGCCCCCAGGGGGCGGTGCGGCGTTGATTCCCGGTGGCCCTGCTTTCCCACCCCAGCGGCCGGGAGGCGGCGTTATGTGACGCCGCGCGGCAGCGCTGTACCAGCCGTCGAAGCCGTGGTCGGTTCGAAGTCTCCCCGGCTTCGCGGTGCCTCGCGGCGCAGCCCGGGGCCGTGAGTGTCGCCAGCGGGAGACGGGGGGCACGCGCCAGGGCCTCGCGGCGAGGCCGGCGGGAGCGCGAAGGCGAGGCAGCGTGGTGCTGTGGTGGGGCCGCCCCGACGGGCGTGGGCCGCACAGCGTGGCCGTGAGGACGCTGAGAGTGGGGACACATGGGGCAGAGGCCCATGGGCGTGCGACGGAGGACCTGCTCAGAGGGACACCCCTAACGTTCTTCCCTCTCCCCAGGCCTGAACTGCAGTTTCTGTGCTCTGGCTCCAAGACTGGCACCTCCTGCGGCCTAGTGCCTTTTGCCTGCATTGCCTGCAGAGTCCCACTCAACTGCCTTCAGCTCGGTTCACACCGAGGCCCCGCCCTCTCCCACTGGCCCCCCCAGGCCCACCTTTAGGAGGGCGTAATGCAAAGGTCCCTGGAGGATGGGAATGAGTCCCCACACTCCCAGGGCCATGCCACTGACTGGAGGTTTGCTGTGTGCAGTTTCAGGGATGCCTGGAAAGAGGAGGAATCTGCTTCCCAGATGCACATTAAGGACCCAGGTGCTCCAAGACCATCAGCCGGGGCAGCCCAGGATGAGGGGTTACAGGGCAGCCGCTTGTCCAGGGAGCTTCAGTTGCCCCCGGCTGCAGGTGGATTAGGGAATGCCCAGAGGGGCATAGTAGAAAGCTCCTCAGTCCTCTCAGAAGGGCCAGGCCTCTCTGGAGTGGAGAGCCTCCTATGCCCCATGTCCTCCCACCTCAGCTTGGCACAGGGTGAGAGTGACAGCCCAGGGGTAGGGTTGGTAGGGGACCCAGATCCAAGCAGGGCAATGCCATCTGGCTTGAGCTCTGGGGGATTGGACAGTGATCCTGTGGGCCTTGGAGACCCTTTATCAGAGACATCGTCAAAGCTGCTGGAGGCAGGTAAGGGAGGCTGGGCTAGGGAAGTCTGGGAAAGAAATGGGGATGCCTGGAGATGAGTGTCAAGACCTTGGAGGTCTCTGACCCTACTGAGGCTGAAGCCCAGGTCCAAGGAGGGGTCTTTAGATAGGTGGCCCAAAGCAGAACCAAGTCATTTCCCTTCCCAAGCCCCCAGTGGATCCAGCCTCCCTAAGCCTGCTGACTGCCTCCTGGCCCAAGACCTCTGCTGGGAGCTGCTGGCCAGTGGCGTGGCCACCTTGCCAGGTAGCCAGGAGGCCCAAGAGGCGGTGGAGGTGAGGTGGCCCAACAGTGCGGGAGTTCACTGCCTCCTCCCCACAGGTACTCGGGATGTGAAAGGTCGAGCAGTGCTGCTTCTGTGTGCCCACAGTCCAGCCTGGCTTCAGCCCGAGTGCAGCAGCCAGGAACTCATCCGCCTCCTACTCTACCTGCGAAGCATCCCCAGGTTTGAGGGAGGGGGTTGGGAGACTAAGCCTGAGCCAACTGTAAGGCTTGGGAGTCAGGTACTGAACTGAGGCTCACCCCTTTAGGGCTGAAGTCCAGGCCCTGGGACTGACGGTGCTAATAGATGCTCGAATTTGTTCCCCAAGTTCTTCCCTCTTCTTTGGGCTCAGCCAACTACAAGTGAGTACTGGATTATAGCTCCTCTCATTTCTTTCTTTCTTTTTTTTTTTTTGGTGACAGAATTTTGCTCTGTCGCCCAGGCTGGAGTGCAATGGCACAATCTTGGCTCACTGCAACCTCCACCTCCCAGGTTCAAGTGATCTTCCTACCTCAGCCTCCCAAGTAGCTGAGATTACAGGCGCCCACCACCACGCCTGGCTAATTTTTGTATTTTTGGTAGAGAGGGGGTTTCACCATGTTGACCAGGCTGGTCTTGAACTCCTGAACTCAGGTGATCTGCCCACCTCGCCTCCCAAAGTGCTGGAATTACAGGCATGAGCCACCGTGCCCTTTTCTGTAGAGTTGGGGATACGGCTGAGCTCAGGTTCCTTGCAGGAAGCAGCCCCAGGGGCCGTGCACCAGGTGCTGCTAGTGGGAAGCATGCTGCTGGAGGAGGTGCCTTCCGGGCTGCAGGTACTGAGTCCAGTTGACTAGGGGTGGAGATGGGGGTACCTCCCCACAGGCCTGGGTCACAACGCCTTCTTCTTCAACAGCTGGAGCAGCTGCCTTGTCATCAGAGCCTGCTGACCCACATCCCAACAGCGGAGCTGCCCACTTGGCTAGGAGGAGGCCTTCCTTACTGCCATCAGGCCTGGCTGGATTTCCGGAGGGTCAGTGCACTGGGCAGGGTGTGGGGGCAGTTATATTGGCAACTTGGGATTGTGGAGGAGCGTCTCTGGGGATAGCTTGAACAGGACAAAGCTGGCTGCAGTTGCCTGGAACCCAGGAAGCGTGGGATCAACACTGCATGCTGCTCTGGTCATGCCTTCCCCTGCTCACAGCGGCTGGAAGCCCTACTGCAGAACTGTCAGGCGGCTTGTGTCCTGCTCCAGGGGGCCATTGAAAGTATGAAGGCTGTGCCCCAGCCCATGGAACCTGGGGTGAGTGTCCCCTCCCAGTCCTTCCATGAATGCTCTCTGTCTCCCTCATTGTCTTCCATGGCCACCTCCACTGCTTATTGCCCTCAATCACAGGAGGTCAGTCAGCTGCTACAGCAGACAGAGGTCCTGATGCAGCAGGTGCTAGACTCGCCACGGCTGGCATGGCTACAATGCCAGGGGGGCCAGGAGCTGACATGGCTGAAGCAAGAGGTCCCAGAGGTGGCCCTGAGCCCAGACTACAGGTGTGTGCAAGCCCAGCCCCCAGATCCTGCCCCAGCCTACCATATTCTAGGCCAGGACTCAACTGGCTAGCTCAGAACCAGGCAGGACTGTGGTTGCCAGGACAGGGTGGAGGGTTGGAAGGCAGGGGGTCCAAGACAGTGTACCCTACTCCAGGACAGCAATGGACAAGGCTGATGAGCTATATGACCATGTGGATGGATTGCTGCACCAACTGACACTGCAGAGCAACCAGCGAATACAGGCCCTGGAGTTGGTCCAAACACTGGTGACCCAGGAGGGCGGACTGCACCAGGTTGGAACTACTTGCCTAGAGTGGGCCCTGCCCCTGATATTAGATGTGTGCCACCCCACCCATAGCAGCTCTCTTCACCTTTCCCTGCTTGTGCCCCTCCAGATTGAAGTGTGGCTGCAGCAGGTGGGCTGGCCAGCACTGGAGGAGCCTGGGGAAGCCTCACTGGACATGATGCTCCAGGCCCAAGGCCCTTTTCGGGAGCTGTACCAGGTTGCCCAGGTATGTGTGGTCACTCGTTTATGCCACGGGTATTGAGATGCAATGGCAGGAACTAGGAATGCAGAAATGCATGAAGGCAATTCAATCCCTTACTCTCTTGGACCTTATAGTCATATATGTGACTGCAAACCCAGGCAAGATCTCTGGAGAGAATCTGCAAGTGATTCTGCCTGAGGGTATAACCAAGACTTTACCCAGAAAAGGTGTCAGGATAGCTTTTTTGGGGGTGACTGTTGAGCTAAGAGTTGAAAGATAAGTTGGGATCAACTAGGGAGAAGAGGGTTGAGGATGGGGGCACATTCCAGACTGGGAGGACAGCATGTGCAAAGGTCCTGTGGCAGGAGGGAAGGTGGTATGCCTGAGGAACCATAAGACCAGTGAGGTTTAAATGCAGAGCAGAGAGGGAGGGAGAGTGGGTGGGGGGAGATGCAGTGAGACAAGCCTGGCCAGTGGCCACATCACTGGGCCCTGTAGCCATCAGTGTAAAGTTTAGTCAGGAGGGCCGCATAATCAGATCTGTATTCTAGGAAGATTACCTTAGTTTCCGAGTAGACAGTGGGCATGGGAATGCAGTGAAGAGGCAATTGCAGTAGTCCAGGTGGGAAACAGTGCCTACTCTGGCCAGGATAGTGGCAGGGAAGATGGGTTGAAGAAGTTGATGGGATTTGCTGTGGACCCATGTGGGAGGGTAAGGGACAGGGATGTTGCAAGGATAAATGGGTGTTGTTCCTGACAGACTAGGAGATGAGATCATCTAGGGGGAGGGGCATTCATGAGTCCAGTCTTGGGCGTGCTCCTGAGATGGCTGTGAGGGATGAGAGAAAGGTTCTTGGGTCTTCGGCCTGGAGCTCAGAGGAGAGGTCTGGCTGAGGAGGATCACTTGGTATGGGGGTGTTTGGATGACGTTTGAAGTTGGTCACACGAGTGCTTGGGAGAGTGAGTGCACTGTCCTCAGGATCCTCAGTGTTCAATGGCCTAGATGAGGGAAAAGGGGAGCAGGAGGAGCCACTGGAAAGAGTGAGGAGAATCAGAAGCAATGGGAGTCCAGCAGAGAGTGGCTGAATGGCGCTGAGAGGTGGAGTCAGTAAGGCCTGGGAAGCACTGGGGATGGCAAAGTGGAGTTGGAGAGGGCTGGCATGGAGGGCAAGACGGGATGGTGAGGATAGGCAATTTCTCTAGGGACTTTGGCTGTGGAGAAGGGGAATGGATGTGGGTGGGGAGTGGGGAGATACGGAGAGATCTTCCACCACAGGACAGACTTGATGGGGACATGTGGATATGTCAGCGGGAAGGATCTGGGTGGACTTGGCTGGACCACCAGGCCTGGGCTGGCTGAGCCCAGTCTCTGTCTCTGCAGGAGCAGGTCAGGCAAGGAGAGAAGCTTCTGCAGCCACTGGCTGGCTGGGAGGCAGCTGAGCTGGGCCCCCCTGGGGCACGCTTTCTGGCCCTGCGAGCCCAGCTGACTGAATTCTCTAGGGCTTTGGCCAGGCGGTGCCAGCGGCTGGCAGATGCTGAGAGGCTGTTTCAGCTCTTCAGAGAGGTGGGTGAGAGTCTCCCCGGCTCCAAGTGATACCTGTAGCTGGAGGGGTGGTAGCCCCAGCCTTAGCACAGCCTGAGCTCTTTCTGGTTATGCTGCCTGAGTGTCTGAGTATAGTGAGCAGTCTCTTCCTTTGCCTTCAGTCTGACCCTAAAATCCAACTGCTGGGGCTGGGTCCTGGTCAGCATCCTGTGGGGATTGGGAGTGGGTAGAGGAGCAGAGTGCCCAGCGGGCTTGGCGGGATCCCCCTCTAATGCTTGTCTGGCCCTGGTGTTGCAGGCCTTGACGTGGGCTGAGGAGGGGCAGCAGGTGTTGGCAGAGCTGGAGCAGGAGCGCCCAAGGGTTGTGTTGCAGCGGCTGCAGCTGCATTGGACCAGGCACCCTGACTTGCCTCCTGCCCATTTCCGAAAGATGTGGGCTCTGGCCACAGGGCTAGGCTCAGAGGCCATCCGCCAGGAGTGCCGCTGGGCCTGGGCACGGTGCCAGGACACCTGGCTGGCCCTGGACCAAAAGCTCGAGGTTGCACTGAAGCTACCACTGGTGGGCAGCACTGCTAGCCTGTGTGTCAGCCAGGTCCCCAGTGCACCTGCCCACCCTCCCCTGAGGAAGGCCTACAGCTTTGATCGAAATCTGGGGCAGAGTCTCAGTGAACCTGCCCGCCACTGCCACCACGCGGCCACTATTGGTGCCTGCCACAGACCAGAGGCTGGAGGAAGTGCCCAGTCCCAGGCATCCCCTACTGTGCCTCCACCAGGCAGCTCTGACCCCAGGAGCCCCAACAGGTGCGGGTAGTGGGCAGGGCAGGAGGGCAGTGGAGGGGAGATGTCTTGAGTCCTGACTCCCCATACCCGATAGGCTGCAGTTGGTGCTGGCAGAGATGGTGGCCACAGAGCGAGAGTATGTCCGGGCCCTAGAGTACACAGTGGTGCACTATTTCCCCGAGCTGGATCGCCCCGATGTGCCCCAGGGCCTCCGTGGCCAGCGTACCCACCTCTTTGGCAACCTGGAGAAGCTGCGGGACTTCCACTGCCACTTCTTCCTGCGTGAGCTGGAGGCTTGCACCCGGCACCCGCCTCGAGTGGCCTATGCCTTCCTGCGCCATGTAAGCCCAACAGGCCACGTGGTCCCAGCTTGTTTTGCCATACTCCCTAAGTTTTTTCTGGGCACATGCTTGGTGCCAGTCCCTGTGCTGGGTACAGCTATGAGCAAGACTGGCAAGATCTTGCACCTGAGGGTGCCCTTGGTTCAGTAGAGGAGACATGGAAGTGAAAAAGACATTTGTAGATTATGGTTGGGGCTAAGAGGAAAATAAGCAGGATAGGTGCTTACTGTTGGGGCAGGGGCTCCACTTTAGAGGGCCTGAGTAATGCCAGGACACCCGGCACTAGAGGAAGCCTTTGAGGGGCTGATGTTTAAGCTGAGGAATCGGGGAGGGGCTGGAGTGAGTGTCCTACCCAGAGGAAAGAGCACAAGTGCAAGGTCGTTTGGAGGAAGGGGACTTGCCAATAAAATGTCTGAGTGTAGTAAGCGGGATGGTCCCAGGTGAGGTGAGCTCTTAGAGCCGTGGGAGGAGCAGAGCTGAAGGCAGGGGCTCAGTCTGAGGGCAAGGGGCTTCTTCCTCGGGGGCCTGTGGGCACACCCCCTCTGCACAGTACTGTTCTTGCCAGATCACCCCTTTGTTCAAAGCAGGGCAGATCGGGTTTGTAGGGAGAGGCCTCCCCAGGAGCCATCTACTGGCATCTTCGTCCTCTCAAGCTGAGGGTGGTCTAGCCTGTTCCAGCCTTAGGGAGCTGGCCCCTTTGCACTGGGGCTGAGCCACATGTCCTTGTAGAGGGTGCAGTTTGGGATGTATGCGCTCTACAGCAAGAATAAGCCTCGCTCGGATGCCCTGATGTCCAGCTATGGGCACACCTTCTTCAAGGTAGGTGGCCTGAGACTACGAGGAGGAAGGGATGTGGGGAATGCTCCCAAACCACTCAGTGGCCTCCCACCTGGCCACAGGACAAGCAGCAAGCACTGGGGGACCACCTGGACCTGGCCTCCTACTTGCTAAAGCCCATCCAGCGCATGGGCAAGTATGCGCTACTGCTGCAGGAACTGGCACGGGCCTGCAGGGGTCCCACGAGGGAGCTCAGCGCACTGCAGGAGGCCCAGAGTCTCGTGCATTTTCAGCTGCGGCACGGCAATGACCTGCTGGCCATGGACGCCATCCAGGGCTGTGATGTGAGTCATCCCAGGCCTTGGTGGGCAAGGTGGAGGGTGTAAAAAAAGGGCAAAAGAGGCCCGGCACCCACTGGCCCCCAACTCTGCAGGTTAACCTCAAGGAACAGGGTCAGTTGGTGCGACAGGATGAGTTCGTGGTGCGCACTGGGCGCCACAAGTCCGTTCGCCGCATCTTCCTCTTCGAGGAGCTGCTGCTCTTTAGCAAGCCTCGCCACGGGCCGACGGGCATAGACACATTTGCCTATAAGCGCTCCTTCAAGGTAGGTCTGCCCACCCTGGGCCCCAGCACTTGTTTTCCCACCCCATGCCTTACCAAACCCCTCTCTCCCCGCTGGCCACAGATGGCAGACCTTGGTCTCACTGAGTGCTGTGGGGACAGCAACCTGCGCTTCGAGATCTGGTTCCGCCGCCGGAAGGCCAGAGACACCTTTGTCCTACAGGCCTCCAGCTTGGCCATCAAACAAGCCTGGACGGCTGACATCTCCTGCCTGCTCTGGAGGCAGGCCGTCCACAACAAGGGTGGGTCCCTGCCCTTCCTTCACCACACACTGCCCTTGCTGGAGAGCTTACATTGACCCACAGGAGCCCAGGGACCTGGAAAAGCTTGGAAAGCGGGGAGGAGGCGCGGGGAGGAGGCCCAGCGGCCGCCACCAGTGCAGGAGAAAGGAATTCAAAGCCAGGCAGCTTTGCTGTTACTGCCTCCGACTTTGGACACAACATGAACTTCTCTGAATATCAGGGCTTCATGGCGCGCTCTCTCTTTCTTTTTTTATTTTTGGAGATGGTCTTGCTGTGTCACCCAGGCTGGAGTGCAGTGGCATGATCTCTGCTCATTGCAGCCTCTGCCTCCTGAGCACAAGCAATCCTCCCACCTAAGCCCCCCGAGTAGCTGAGACTGCAAGCATGCATCACTATGCCTAGCTAATTTAAAAAATTTTTTCATAGAGATGAGGTCTCACTTTATTGCCCAGACTGGTCTCAAACTCCTGGGCTCAAACAGTCCTCCCATCTTGACCTCCCAAAGTGCCGTGATTATAGGTGTGAGCCACTGCACCCGGCCAGGGGCCTCATCTCTAAAAGAGGAATATGGCACCTGTCCCACAGGATTGTTGGGAGGAGCACTTGGCATTAGAAAGGCTCAGCTCACAGGACAGTTAATGTGTTGGATGTGGGTGTACAGGAAAGACCTATTTGGGAGGTGGGGAGATAGAGGCCTAAGGACAGGCTTATGTCCAGAAGTGTCCCACTTATGCCCACTCTCCACCCAGAGGTGCGCATGGCTGAGATGGTGTCCATGGGTGTGGGGAACAAGGCCTTCCGAGACATTGCCCCCAGTGAGGAAGCTATCAATGACCGCACCGTCAACTATGTCCTGAAGTGCCGAGGTAGCAGCCAGACTACAGGGGGTGGGCATGGGGGTGGGGATTGGAAAGCTGTGGCCCTCCAACAGTGCTGGCCCCTGCTTTCCTCGGGATCTGGGGCCAGGCTAGGCTCTGGCCTGTCCCAGCCTGACCCTCTCTCTTACTCAGAAGTTCGTTCTCGGGCCTCCATTGCTGTGGCCCCATTTGACTCTGACAGCCTCTACCTGGGGGCCTCAAACTCCCTTCCTGGAGACCCTGCCTCTTGCTCTGTTCTGGGGTCCCTCAACCTGCACCTGTACAGAGACCCGGCTCTTCTGGGTCTCCGATGTCCTCTGTATCCCCCCAACTTCCCGGAGGAAGCACCACTGGAGGCCGAGGTGGAGCTGGGCAGCCTGCCCTCTTTGAGTATGTCTGGGCTTAGCCAGAGGCAGGAGGGCATGGTTTGGGATTTGTGGCCTCGTGCTGACAGCTCACCTAGTCTCCCTTCCCTAGCTCCTGAGGACTCAGAGGTCTCATCCCAATGCCCATCAGCCAGTGGCTCCAGTGGCTCTGACAGCAGCTGTGTGTCAGGGCAGGCCCTGGGTAGGGGCATCGAGGACTTATCCTATGTGAGTGCCATTTGCCCTATACCCACGAGCCCTCCCCCAGCCCAGGCAGGGCCTGTGACTGTGACCAGCCGCTCCCCAGCCCAGCCTAGGCCTTTACTTTGGGTAGAGCTGGGGGTGGGTGGGCCTGAGCCATTCCCCAGACAGCCCCTGGGCTCAGAGGTAGGGAAGCAGGCATTCATGCCTGACCTGGTCTTGCAGGTCTGAGCCCGGGACTGGACAGGGATTCAGTAGCCTGCAGCTCCAAGGAACAATACCTCTCTGGATCTGCTGTGACCAGGGTGTGGCTGACACCTGGGTTACCTCCAGCCTGTGTGCAGCCCTGTTGACTACCCTTTCTGATGTCTGTGGCCATTGGACAAACTGGCATGGGGCCTCTCTAGGGGAGTTTGGCTGTAGAGCTGGTGGGGGACCATGTGCCTCTGGGCAGTGACTAGGCTACCCCCATCCTTCAGGAGGAACACAGGTGGGCTCCTAGCAGCTGCTCCCCAATCCCTGGCCTTCAAGCCAAGCTCACCTCCCATAGGGGAAGATCCACCTCTACTGTGCCCTGATGCTTACCCATCCTGGCCCCCAGGCCCAGCCCCTTTTTTCCTTTTTATTTTGACTTGATGTCTTTTTTAATAACTTTCAATAGAGTTGTCTAAAATTATCTCACTGGTTGTTAGGCCTTTGGCGTCTCAGAGAAGGAGTCTAGTTCTTTGACGTGTGATTTACTCTTTTATTTCTTTATAATAAAAAGTAGACTAATATGTACCCTTTGGTGGGCACATGCATTCTGGGGCAATGTCCAGTTAAAATGAGGCTTGGCGGGTGGGGCATGAGGGCCTGCATCTCTGGGCACCCTAGTCCTCTTGTAGGTACTTTCCCAGGATGGAATACGACACAGACCTCGACAGGCCCCTCTGGATGAGCAGGTCCATGCAGCGGCCGTATTTCCTGGCGAAGGGCAGTGTAAGCTGGAAGGAAAGGCCAGTCTTACCTCTGAATTCCTGGCCAGTTGCCTACTCTAGCTCCATGTGGGTAGGTTCTCCTATGGGGCAGTGACAGGGCAAGCCTGGCTGTTGGGGACTTTTGTTGCTTTAGGACTCAGCTTTGCCCAAGGGCATGTCACAGGGTAGAGGTAGAACTGGTTATCAGGGAACTAAGCAGAATGACTGGAGGGTTGAAAACATGTTTCCTGGTACTGGTTTTCCACATTCTAGCCCTACGTGCTCACCTCACCTTTACAAACCACATACAAGCCGGATGCTTAATGGTAACTGGATACTAGCATGCTTATGGTGAAAGGTGTTATAATAATGCCCTTGATTATGGAAGTGTCAGATCAGTGAGAATCTGCCTAAATTGTTTCCACCTCAATGTTAGAATTAGATTAAGGAATCAGAAAAGGGAAAAAAAAACCTTGATCATTACTTTCCCTTACTAAACATTTTCTTGTAAAGAATGCTTAAAAGTAGTTTAAATATGGAAGTAATGTACACAAATGGTGACATCATGGCCAAATAGGTGAAGTTGGTATCACTGGTTGAAAACGTCTAACTCCCATATGAGTTAAGGCTTGGGCTCATATGATATGCGTCCCTAAGTGTGGCCAGGGTTGTTAGTGATGAAGGCACAGCTGGTATCATTGGAGGAAAACTATAAAAACCAGTGGCCTGAATACTGGTTTTTGACTACTCTGGATTGGTTAATTTCATCCAGTTTCTCCCTCCCTTGGAGTAGTGGCCTAAGCTGCCTGTCTAGCCTTCTGAGAAGTGCTGACCCAGCCCTGGTGCAGCAAGACACGCACATCTGAGGCATCCACAGGGTCGGTGGATTCCATGGGGATTGCAAGTGGCCCTCACCTCCACCCAGCTGTACAGACGCTCCTGGGTGTGCCGGTCGTCCTTGAAGCCAGTGATGGCCAGTAAATCCACCACAAACTGCTTGGGGCTGATGTGCAGGGTCTGCCAGGAGAGCCCACAGTCAGGCAGGGCTGGGGCAGCTCCTAGCCTCTCAGAGTGAGATGCAGAGCAGGGACTTCCTTGGGCCCACAGAGCCACAGGGGTGGGGGGCAAGCACTGTCACTGCAAATCTGCCTTTTGGCCAAGGCTTGGTCCAGGTGCAATTGCTCTGCTTGCCCATCCCTGCCTGTCCCACTACTCGTCTGCCCCTGGCCTCTTCTCCTTACCCCCATCTTGGCTTACTTCCTCTTGCCTTGCACCACTTATTGTGCGGTAGGGGAAGAGGTGGAGAAGGTAACAGGGTGCCCCAGGGGCTGGGGCCTATCACACATACCCACAGCCGGTTGGCCAGGGAGACCACCTTGGCTGTGATGGCTTTGGGGTCCTTTTGCCTGATGGAATCCAGGATGATGTCAGCCAGGAAACAGTGACATTTCTGCGCATAAAACATCTCTTCCCAGGACAGAGAGAAACTCAGGAAAGTCACTTCTGTGGAGGAAGGAAAGTGGTTGTGGCTACATCTGTCAACAGCTAGGGCCTTAGAGACAGAGTGAGGAGGGGAGAAGGGTAGGGCTCCCAGGGGACACTGTCTCTGCCTAAAGTACCCTGGGAGGGGCTCAGCCATCCTCACGAGGAGGCTCAGGGCTGGGCCCGGCTCCAGAGCCTCACCTTGGGGCTGGGGGCTGGCTGTGGGTGGTGTGTGCCTGAGGTTGTCCACCTGCGTGGTGTAGATGATGCTGTCCTCGAAGAACATGCAGAAGCCATCGCTGCCCACCACTGGGGGGTGAGTCACTTTGAGGATGACCCCTGGGCTGTCTATCTCACTAGCATCAGTCAGAGGATGCTCAGGGGCAGGGCTTTCTGTGAAAACAATGTAGGGAGGGGGCTCTCCTTTTTTTTTTTTTAATTTTTTTTTTTTTTTTTTGAGACAGAGTTTTGCTCTTGTTGCCCAGGCTGAAGTGCAGTGGTGTGATCTTGGCTCACTGCAACCTCTGCCTTCCAGGTTCAAGTGATTCACCTGCCTCAGCCTCCCAAGTAGCTGGGATTACAGGTGCTTGCCACCTCACTCTGCTAACTTTTTGTGTTTTTAGTAGAGATGGGGTCTCTCCATGTTGGTCAGGCTGGTCACGAACTCCTGACCTCAGGTGATCTGCCCACCTTGGCCTCAAGTGCTCGGATTACAGGTGTGAGTCACCACATCCAGGCTTTTTAAATTCTTTTCTTCAATTACCATGAAATCTACATAAGCAGGGGCTCTCCTTAAGCCACCTCAGAGCCCAAGCAGGGAGGGGACCTCTGGTGACAGGCCAGTACAGTTAGTCACCCCAGCCTTGCAACAACTGCCATCTCCAGTTTCTCAGAAGTGACACCCTGGGCTGGCAGGGGCCTATCCTGGCCTCTCCTCTCTTCATTGCCCTGGCATCGCTGCAAGCCAAATCCTGAAAATTTTGGGACTCCAAAAAACTCCAAATTCCTCTGTTGAATGAAGTCTGATATCAAATGGGGCTGACAGTAACCCAGCTGAGGGCTGAAAATGTTTATAAAAGTGTAAGTTGAGAGCTTTTGGGACCAGCCTTTGTTGCATGTCCAAAGAGTGGACATTTTTCACCCCAAGACTGACAGACCAACTTAGAGCTCACAGGCAGTCCAAGAAGGCCCCTCCAAGCAGGATTGGAGCCACTAATAGGGAAGGTGACAGAATACCACAGGCAGGGCTTTGAGGGAGCAGAGGCAACAGCCTGGCACAGCGGTTCTCAGCATACTTCCCTGGCTACCTCCCCTTTGCTGGCCACACATGCTGTCTCCCCAGCTCAGTCCCTGTAGCCTCTGCTGTCTCCTGGGCTTCACCTGGATGTCCCCTGGCATTTCACACTCAGTATGTGCCCTTCCCCAAGCTCTGCTCTTTCTCTTACCCGCACCTAAGTAAGGACCCACCATCCCCTTGCAGTCACATAAGCTAGAAACCTGGCTCCTCCTTGGTCCATCCCTCCTTCCCTCCCCCAGCTGCCTAGCCTGCTTCCCCAGCCTAGAAAGAACTCCAGGTGGCTTCCAACACCTAGCTCCTCCTACATTTCTTTCTTTTATTTTTTATTTATTTTTATTTTTTGAGATGGAGTCTCACACTGTCACCCAAGCTGTAGTGCAGTGGCATGATCTCAGCTCACTGCAATCTCTACCTACTGGGTTCAAGCAATTCCCCTGCTTCAGCCACCTGAGTAGCTGGGACTACGGGTGTTTGTCACAATGCCCAGCTGATTTTTTTTTGCATTTTTAGTAGAGACAGGGTTTCACCATGTTGGCAAGGATGATCTTGATCTCTTGACCTTGTGATCTGCCCACCTTGGCCTCCCAAAGTGCTGGGATTACAGGCTTAAGCCACCATGCCTGGCCTCCTGCTGCATTTCCTCTGTTCCTGGAGCAAACTTTCTGATCAGCACACTTGACCCTGTGGTCTTGTTTAAAATCTTTCAGAGGCTGCTCACTCCCATCCTGGGCAGAACGAAGTACCATGTCCTGAATCTGCCTACAAGGCCAGCCCTGAAGACTTCTGTCTTCAGCCTCATCTTTTATCATGTCTGCACATGAAGCTCTGTCCTCAAGCTAGACCCATGCGGTGTGCTTCCAAACACCCTGGACTTCTCTTTCCTTCCCCTGCTGACTCCCAAGCCCTCAGCCTTTTTTGTGCTCCTACTTCATAGGTGCCCCCTTCCCACAGCACTCATCCCTTCACCATATGTATTCTCCTGGCCCCTCCAACCATGTCAGTGTGCCAATCATTTCTGTGCTGCCTGGCACAGAGATAGTGTTGGTGAGCAGGGGGCTCTAGTCCTCCTTTGTCACTAACTTGCTCTGCCATCTTAGCCAAGGAGTTTGCCTTCTCTTGTGAATAAGACTTAGGTCAAGGTGGGACAGGACTCACCTCTCTCCTTGGGCCTCTGCTTGCTCCAGTCCTTCAGGGTACCAGCTCTTTTTGGGGGGAAGTATGGCTTAAAGATTGGCTCTGGCCTCTTGTCTTTCGTTCCAGCTCCAGCCCCTGCCTGTGGTCCTGGATCCCTCTCTGAGGCTGTGGAATGGGCTTTCCAGGCAGCTGAGGTGCTGGGCTGGGAGGTAGCCTTGCTTCCCAAGGGGAGCTGCAGGGTGGCTTCCTCCAAGGGGCTGCTCCGGGAGGCTGTCAGTGGCTGGAATTCCCACTGTTTGCAATTGACCATGTCCCATTCTCTCACCAGGGAGATGAGTTTTTGCATGGGAGTAGCGGGAGGGTCTTTGGTTTCAGATTTCTGTGTGAGGTTGATTGTGGTGCATTTCTTCTTGGTGGGGCTCTCAGGGTGTCTCCCCCAGTGTCCGGGATTGGTATACAAGCCAGGACAGTGTGAGTATGTGCTGGGGTTGCCTGCCCTCTTGGCATTTCGGCATAGGGACACCTGGATGGGCCGGGTGTACTGCTCAGCCTCCTCCATCTGGTTGGACCTGGCCAGGTTTCCCTTAGCCTTGTTCCATGGAGTCCTATCACTGCAGTCTTGGAAGTCCACAGGCATGTAGGCTGTGGTCTGGGGAGGGAGGGGCACAGTAACTCTCGATATGTTGGGCATGGATATCAATGCCTTGCCCTAGATCGAATAAGCTGGGCCTCTAAGACTTCACTTGCTCTCTCCAAATAATCTCATCCCTAACAGGGGTCACCCATTTGAACTTTGCTCAGGCTGAGTGGGAGTGGTGCCAGCTCAGTGGCCTGTCACTGCAACAGGAGATACAATTAGCATCCCAGGCCACAAGTGGCCAGTAAATTCCTGTGCTTCAATGTTCAGAAGC